AATAAATAACTCTTTGGCGGACTGCATTTGAGCTTACTGATTAAGAATATCATAAATTTAATAAGATTCATTCAGTAGTTTCGCTAATATCTGGAATATAAGAATCTCTAATTCCCGGCCGGCCGATAGGCGTCTCCACCATGTCGCCTGCCGACCCTTAAAGAGACAGATCTATTCATTACCACAGATTAATAGACAGATCGCCAAAGGCCTGCCTAAAGAAGAGACCGCCATCTTCGTGCGATAGACTTTGCCCCTTACCGACACACTTTGCCCCTGGTTCGAGTCCGTGCTAAATTTCGTAGACTTGAACCAAAAGACTTTGCCCCTGGTTCGAGTCCGTGCTAAATTTCGTAGACTCGACCAAAAGACTTTGCCCCTGGTGCAAGTCCAGGCTAAATTCGTTTGACATTACCAACAGACTTTGCCCCTGGTGCGAATCCAGGCTAATTGATCATGAGACCAATTTGAGAGATTTGGCCCCCGTTGTGTGTGTGTGTGTGTGTGTGTGTGTGAGAGAGAGAGAGAGAGAGAGAGAGAGAGAGAGAGAGAATATTTTACATATATGCATATATATATATAAAATTTATTAAATATAAAAAATATATTTTTTACACATAAAATGTTTTTTTATTGAAATAATCACAATTTTAAATGTGATATAACACAGTGTTCAAAAATTTTTTTATTAAATTTTTTAATTAAATTTTATTAAAGAAAATTACTTGAAATTTTTTACATTAAGAATTTAAAGGCTCCTTATTCTCTTGTAGAAATTTATCACTACGCCAATTAATCACTTATTTTGAGTATTTAAAATACTATAATATACAGTAATTTAAGTATTCGAAATAAAAGTGATTAATTACTCGAAATAAGTGATAAATTGGCGTTACTAGTAATAAATTTCTATAAGAGTTGAAATAAAGTATAAGAGATAAATAGGCTATATGTGAGCCGTATGCGAAATGTGAGATGTAAGACGCATATTGAAATTTAATTTTTCGATATAACTTTCAAAAATGTACACGAGGTACAAAAAATTAGCTTGGACATTTGTAAGACTTAAAATTGGGATTAATTCTCAATTCTATTAATTAAATTTCGATATAACACACCTTACATCCGCGCACGGCTCACATATAGCCCATTTATTAGTGCAATTTTTAAGTTCCTTATTTTTCAAAGTTCACCTTTTTACGTTATCAAATATTTTTGGTACGTTTTCAAGAATTTTATATTTTTACTTACCGCAGTTTCTTATCCAAATGTAAAATCTTTTATCGCAGTCTATAAAAAATTGAAACAATTTACAATTTTATGATATAATATTATTATTATTACAATTTCTATATATATGCACATCTGTCAAATATCGTGATTTATTTCACATTATTATTATCTATTTTAATAAAAAAAAAACAAAAACACTTGCAACAATCAAAAATAAACCGCCTGCCGCGAACGGAAAATGCCAAGAAAGCACGCAATTTCCGCGAATCTCGTAATTTTTTTGAAAAATCAACAATTTCAACGAAATTGTAAATTCTTCAAATCACTGCACAAGTATAATTCACAATAATAATTTGCAGTAACTACGATAAAAAATCGTATACTGAAAACCGCAAACGAAAGTGCAATGGGAGTAAGAGTAAAGTCTGTGATAAAATTAATTGGCAATAGAAAATTAATAATTTTCAAATAGAAAAATTTTGAAATTACCGAGGATTTACAAATAATAAAGTAAAAATATTAAATAATTTATGTTTTCGAATTTTGCTCGCGGAGAGGATCTTTAAAACAAGATTTTTAGAAGAGAGGACCTTTAAAATATAAACAGGCAAAAACGTTGGAAAAATTAAAGCGCGCGTTTAAACAAATAAACGCAATGAAATAAATACGCAAATGTTTTTACTTATCGCTGTAAGCTCACAAGCTTCTGACGTGCTATACACTTTTATACATATAATATATACAAGGTGTCCGGTAACTAACGGACCAATGATTAAGGGCGGATTCTCTGGCCAATTTGGAGACGATTTTTCCTTAGCAAAAATGTTGAGAAGTCAATAATTTTCGAGTTATAAGCGATTGAAAAAAATAGGTTTTTTGAAAACTAAACGTTTTGGAGTTAAAAGTCTAACATAATTACATTCTTCAGTTAATTTCAGGTAGAGTTTACTATAATAAAATTTTAATTTAAGGCTTAGTTATAAAGATACATAATGACAAAGATTGGAAAGTTGTAAAAAATGATGACCTTTTTCGACATTTTCGCTGAGGAAAAATCGTTCCCAAATTGACCAAAGAATCCATTTGTAATCATTGGTCTGTTAGTTACCGGACACCCTGTATATTGGACACGAGTTTCGTTTGTTTCAGATTCTCGAGAGTTGAAGTAGGAACATACGAGTATCATATATCGTTTGTGACTTGCCGAATGAAAGCAAGACAGAGAGCGAACGAGATGATGAGCTTAATAGCTCATAATGTTATAAATAAATAAATAGAAAATTATAACCTGACCTACTAGTTATTGAATCTTTTTTTAATAAAATATTTCATTATTATTATCATCTAAGTCTAAGTCGTTTAATTACTTTTTAGTTTTTTAATAATTAATTTAATTTATTCTAGTCATTTTTATATGAGAAAAATAATATCACGTATACGTTTTATAATGAATTAATATATTTCGGGAACCGAATTATATATTCTTAATAATATAAAAGTGTTCAAAAATTATATTTGACTTTTAATTTTAATTATTTTATAGCAAAGAGTTCCGAAATCTCTTACACACATAATGGGGATTTTTTTCATCCATATAATTCGCAATTAAGTATATATGTTAATTATTAATTTTAATAAAATAAAAATTAAAATTAAAGGTCAAATATAATTTTTAAACACAAATATATTAAATTAATTATAAAACGTATACCCATGATAGTATTTTTCTCGTACAAAAATAATTAGAGTAAATTAAATTAATCATAAAAGATTAAAAATTAATTAAGGGGTTATACCTACCTGCAAACTTCAAAAAAATCGATTTTTGGATTTTGATATTTTCTTAAAGTACATACTTTCAAAAATATTCCCTGCAAATTTCAAGTCGATTCGACAAAAATTAACGAAGTTATGTGAGTTTAAAGGTATACTGGTGTGAACGTATCCTGCTGTTTAGAAGCAGGGTACAGAAACGGGTCTCAGGTATCGAACGGCAGCTGCGACGCGGACAAAAGCGGTCTCTATACAAAGCCAAAATATATATAAATAAATAATATATATAAATATATATAAATATATATATAAATATATTATTTGGTTGTGAACTTAATTTGAAACTTCAAATGCGTTTTTCTCAAAACAGCATTTTTAAAATCGGTGACCAAAATATCTCGAAAACCGCTGCATCGATTGAAATAAAATTTGGTAGACATCTTTAATACTAAAAAATCTAGTGCCCGATCGTGGCTTTTGTTTTTTCGTTGCGTATTTTTTTTAATAATAAAAAACGAGCGAATTTTTGGTAGCAAAATCATACCTTCAAATTTGAACAGCCGCCATTTTGTCGCAAATTAATTTTTCAAAAAAATGAACGATCGGGCACTAGATAATCTTATATATTAACTAAATTTCTCGGGTTTTTTGATTTCTGGTAAACCAGTTCAAAGTTAGAGTGGTCACCGCAAAACGCTTTTCAAAAAACTGCTTCTGGAAGATTAAGCATATCTTTTTTATTTATCAACATTTTGCAATAAAAAAAATACTAAATAATCTTTGAAATATATATATTTGAAAACATAAATGTTCCTTTCCAAAGCACTTCAAATATTTAAAAAAAAAATTCCCAAAAATACGTGTTTTTCAGACCTTGCAGGTAGGTATAACCCCTTAAAGAATTTAAACTTATATTTTATATAATAATAATAAAACATTTTATTACGTCAAACCGTCGTGAAATAATTAAATAAAATTTGCTAGTTACGTCAAAGTCAAGTTTTCTAAGCTTATAAAACATTTTATTAAAAAACAGATTCAATAAATATAAGTACATGTTATATATATACTTATATTTATTGAATCTGTTTTTTTTATAAAATGTTTTATTATTATCATATATAATATAAATTATTTAATTATTTTTTAATTTTTTTATGAGTAATTTAATTTGTTCTAATTATTTTTGTACGAGAAAAATACTATCACGGGTATACGTTTTATAACGAATTAAATATATTTATGTTCAAAAATTATATTTGACCTTTAATTTTAATTTTGTATTTTATAAAATTAATAATTAACATATATACTTAATTGCGAATTATATGGATGAACAAAATCCCTATTATGTGTGTAAGAGATTTCGGAACTCTTTGCTAAAATAATTAAAATTAAAAGTCAAATATAATTTTTGAACACTTTTATATTATTAAAAATATATAATTCGACTCTCGAAATATATTAATTCATTATAAAACGTATACGTATTAGTATTTTTCACATATTAAAATGATTAGAATAAATTAAATTAATTATTAAAAAACTAAAAATTAATTAAACGACTTAGACTTAGATGATAATAATAATGAAACATTTATTAAAAAATAATTATAATAGGTCAGGTTAATATTTTATTTATTTATTTATTTATAACATCATAAAATTCTGTCCTTTCCGAAATACGCGAACGCTACGAAAAGATAAATCTCGTACATGCCGCCGGACGAGTTCATGAGCATGAGACGCTCATCTTAGGAACGTATTAATAGTTACTGCATTGACCACTACCACGATATGGCGCTGAAATCAGTGAGAAATGCTGGTCTCTCCTTCATCCAGACCTTTGGCGATCTGTCTATTAATCTGTGTCATTACATACGCGCGCGTGTGAGTGACAGCTGATCAGCTGATCGGTATTTACACGAATGAGGTATGGAAGCTGTAGCCATCTATAGTCGATGTGGAAAAACTTTTGCGACATTAGCGTCCTCTGGATGACTTGAGTCTCGCATTTACGCGGGAAATTGAGCGTTGAGCGGCGTGTGCAGGTTACACGTATCCGGAATACATTTTGGAATAAGGGTGTAAGATTATCGCGGGCGGTTTCTCTGTCAATCATGTCGAGTCCTATGAGACCGCCGAGGACCCCCGTTCCTCAGGATGACAACGATTCGACGAACGGCACCCCGAGACGACAGCCTCGGACTCCAACCTCCGCCAGAGCTCCTTCGGTTGCCGGTACACCTAGCACCATTCATTCAGCATCCACAAGACAAGGTTGAAGAAGTACTTTTTAATAAAATATCTTCATGGAAAAAGAGATATATTTGAATTATAATATTTGGTTTACGTTATACGCAGGTACACCTCAAAGAAGATCAGGAAATAATCCAGTAGACACTCCGTTACGATGGGGTGGCCGTCCAGCACAAGAGACTATTGCACCATCGTCGGAGGGTCCCTCTTCTGTGCCATTGTCTTCTCCGAATCGATTGGTACAAACAAGCCCCCTTGCTATGGGCATGAGCGAAGAATTGTCTTCTCCGTTGAATTATGGAACACCTAGTTCCTTGGCATCAGTTCGTACTCCTCGCAGTGGTATTAGGGGTACACCTGTGCGACAGAGGCCAGATGTTCAATCTGACAGACGTATGCGACAAGTTAACTTGGCCGAAGTGAGTTAAATTTATACAGCAATATTAATATATAGGTATTAAATTATTAATGTAAATTAAATTTTATTGATAGATACCGGAAGAACCCAATGCTCAAAGAACATCAGAGACTGAGAATGGTCCACAGTTGGTAATCTGGGGTACAAATGTTGTAGTGGATCAGTGTAAGGAACAATTTAAACGATTTATCCTGCGATTCATCGATCCAGAAGCAGAGAATGATGAATTGCCTGAGAACATGAATCTGTCAGATCCACTTTACTTGCAAAAACTTGAAGAGATACATACATTGGAGGAACCTTACTTGAATATAAACTGCGCTCATCTCGAGGCATTTGATAAACAGCTTTACAGTCGATTGGTATGCTATCCTCAGGAAGTGATACCAGCTTTCGACATGACCGCGAATGAAATGTTCTTTGAGAGATATCCTGCAGCAGTGTTGGAGCATCAAATTCAAGTACGACCCTACAATGTTACCAGAACCAAAAGCATGCGCCTTCTAAATCCAGAGGACATAGATCAATTGATCACAATCACTGGTATGGTCATTAGAACATCGAACATTATGCCGGAGATGCGAGAAGCGTTTTTCAGGTGCATTGTCTGCTCTTTCACGACAACCGTGGAGATCGACAGAGGTCACATAGCCGAGCCCACAGTGTGCACGCATTGTAACAACAATTACTGTTTCAACTTGATACACAATCGCAGTCATTTCTCTGACAAGCAAATGATCAAACTACAGGAGTCGCCGGATGATATGCCGGCTGGTCAGACCCCTCATACAGTGGTTCTTTTCGCACATAATAATTTAGTTGACGCCGTCTCGCCGGGTGACAGGGTTTCCGTCACCGGTATATATCGCGCGTTACCGATACGCGTTAATCCGCGACAGTCCAATGTACGCGCTATCTACAGAACGCATGTTGATGTTGTCCACTTCAGGAAACAAGATTCGAAGCGGTAAGATACATTTCAGAGTTGCACTATTTATTTGTATTTTATTAAACTATATATACAGTTATATTAATTATATACATTTATATTTATATATATATATATATATATATATATATATATATATAATATATATATTTAATTATTTTATATTTAATATATTATATATTTTTAATATTATCTTTTGTTAATTTTTGCTCTTGTTTATTCCATATAGACTATACGAGCAAGAGGAGGGCAAGGATCATGCATTTCCACCAGAAAGAGTGGAACTATTGAAACTGATATCACAGAAGGAGGACGTGTATGAACGACTGGCACGGCACATTGCTCCCAGCATCTACGAAAACGAGGATGTGAAGAAGGGAATATTGCTGCAATTATTTGGTGGAACGAAAAAAGAGCAAAATAAATCGAGCAAGAAATATTTTCGGTCCGAGATAAATATACTTCTGTGTGGAGATCCGGGTACGAGTAAATCGCAACTGCTACAATTCGTCTTCAATCTGGTACCTCGCTCGCAGTATAGCAGCGGAAAAGGTATAAATGTACCTCTTTTTAACGATAACATTACATTTGATTTAATTTTAATATATAATTAATAATTATTTGTTCGTATATTTCATGTCCGTGATCTCTTTCTCAGGTTCCAGCGCTGTCGGCTTAACTGCTTTCGTAACGAAAGATCCGGAAACTCGTCAATTAGTCCTGCAAACCGGCGCTCTAGTGCTCGCTGATAATGGTATCTGTTGCATCGACGAGTTCGATAAGATGAACGATAGCACGCGCTCTGTATTGCACGAAGTTATGGAGCAGCAAACGCTGAGCATTGCAAAAGCTGGTATTATTTGCCAGTTGAATGCGAGAACAAGTATTTTGGCAGCGGCCAATCCTTGCGAGTCGCAGTGGAATAAAAATAAAACAGTAAATATCCATTAAGTTATGATCGATATTGAACATTTGTATGATGAATTAATGAGCACTGATAGAAATCTTTATATTTGTTTTCTAGGTGATAGAAAATGTCATGTTACCGCATACGCTAATGTCACGTTTCGACCTAATTTTCCTGATGTTGGATCCTCAGGATGAAATATTCGACAGAAAACTCGCCAGACATCTGGTATCGCTGTATTACAAATCTGATTTAGAGGAAGAGGATGACATCGTGGATATGAGCATTCTACGTGATTATATAGCCTATGCCAAGGAACACGTTCGTCCTATTCTCAATGAGGAGAGCCAACAGAGGCTGATCCAGGCTTATGTTGATATGCGCAGAGTAGGAAGCGGCCACGGACAAATCACAGCCTATCCGAGGCAACTGGAGTCGCTGATACGGCTCGCTGAGGCACACGCTAAGATGCGATTCAGCAACATAGTGGAGATTACAGATGTCGAGGAAGCTTGGAGGTGAGAATAGACAAAGATAGCTAGATCTCTCAATACCTAGGTAATGCGATATTTTCGTTTTAAATAATACAACTTATTGTAACATCTATATATCATCAGGTTACATCGAGAGGCGTTGAAGCAATCGGCCATCGATCCATTAAGTGGCAAAATCGATATTAGTATCCTAACAACAGGCATGTCGTTGGCTGCGAGGAAACGCAGACAGGAACTGGTGGAGGCGTTGAAGAAGCTTATTAAAGGCAAAGAGAAGACACCGACGCTAAACTACCAAAAAATTTTTACAGAATTGAAAGAATCTTCCAGCATGGTACGTTTATTTATTATATTTATGTACCTCATTCTGCATTTGTTTTTATCTATTTATATTTGTATTTTATTTTATTGGTTTTTAATGTTATTTTATTTTATTTCTATGCATTTATTCAAAGAATGTATTTTTTGGTTGAGCCTATGTTTCTTTTTAGTTGGTGACACGTGAAATGTTTGAAGATGCTCTGAAAGATTTGCAAGATAATGGTGTTGTAATTGTAACCGGAAAAAATACTATTCGTGTTTGTTAAAATATTATTTACAATTTCAAATTGCCTTGTTTAGGATATCTGTAGGAAATTAGTAAGTACTTTTTCATTGACGTATTTTATGAAAGATTATTGCTAACTATTTTTATAAAAGGGCTTTTATATTCCATAATAAATAATAATAAATAATTGTATTAGAAAATTTATTTTGAAACAAAATAGATAATGGCGAAAACTTTTCAATAATTAACGTCACAAAAATTGTTAAGATTATAGAATTTTTTAATTTCAAATAATTCTTTTCAATTTACAAATTTTCGCCTTCTGTAAAATAATGAATATAATAATCAAAATTTGAAATTCATATATATATCCTAAATTAAATATTTTAATCGTATAACTTTTGTATCTTATTTTTACAATTTATATTAATATATGTAAAACATGCTGCTTTATATTTATAGGAATTTTGATATCTATGATTTTATTAAATGTACAATGAATTATCAAAAAGATTATTTTAATTATTATTTTTTTTTATAAATAACATTTATGTAAATTTCTGATCATTTTTGATAATTCAAGAAAATGTTTTTTAGTATGCCTTTTATACAGTATTTTACATAATTGTTGATAATAACGATAAAATACACAATGCACGAGAACGCGCGTTCTTCACAACATGTTGTTGGAATTAATATTGTTTGAATTTGTTGATTCTCGCACATTCTCGCATTTATTGAGCGCTGTGTTATTGATATATATATATATATATATATATATAATTTTGCAGAATGATCATATGTGATAATTGTATTATCAACGAGAAATTATTATTCTCATTTCGTTTATTCAATTTACATACACCGGTATCGGTACGTTTCCTATAATAATACGGAACGTCATGTTTGAAATGTAGCAATTAATTGCCATTGACAATTCGAAATGTCTTATAGCTGACCCGTACGTATGCTTTACACCTACGCCTCGTGCGCGGGCGTCGCGACGGAGGCGTCGTACTACGTAGTTTTGCTCTTGCGATGACCTTGGAAACTCCTACGCTCCTTTCAGCGCCGGGTAGCTCTGGTGGGGATATTCGTTCATCGACGTCCCACCCACTCACGCCGGGGTAACTTCCGCCCCTCCGAATCACGATATTCGCTACACATCGATGCCAGGAGAATCTAGGTATCTTCAAATTATCGTATTCGGGGAACATTAAAGTGATACTGTTTTTTCAAAGTTATAATATTCTGTTTTAATTAACTTTTTTATCAAATAAATTAGATTATATAGGTAGATTAAATTATAATTTCACGTCAAATTTATTACAATTTACTGTCAAAAACAATAATCGCTGCCGTAAATAAACTTAATGAGAATATATGTATATTCTTATTAAATTTTAAAATTGAAGCTGTAATTGCAAACAGATTAAAAGATCAAAGAAAAAAATGACTATCGTTAATAAATGATATTAAATAATATAATTATATATAGTATAAATAGAATCGTATAATGACAAAACATCTCCGATACTGATGTATAAAGATTATAATATACTTCAAGCTCTTCTAATCCATCCACTTTAAAATCTTTCTTCTCGGTTTCTCTTTGTTCATAAATTTCGGCTCAAGTTGCATTAAGACTTACAATTAAATTTGCTTTTATGACGGATTATTCGCGTTTTTTCTTATGTATCCAGAATTGTAATATTAAATTACACTACTAGCTGTTACATACGAAATTCTTAACAAATATTTGAATAATCGAATTAATATCTTTTTTTATTATTATATATTAATTAATAAAGTAAATGTAGGATCTCTTTTAATATGGAAAAATTCCGGAAGAAAAGCAATTGTTATCGTGATTTTTATAAGGTCTATCGCAAAATTTAACGAAAGGAAAGGAAACATTTTTTTCGGTAAATGTCAGTGTTTGTTAAATCAGTTAACATTTTTGTTGAAAACAAAAAGAATATCCTGAAATATATCCACTAAAGATTTATTGAAAATTTATATCTTGCACATGACACTTGGCAAAATTGTCAATTTTTAAAAAATTCAATTTTACACAATTCTATTACGTATTTATTATAATGATCTTCTAATCTCAGATTACACAATTACGACTTCGATTTCCAATTTCTAAATTCAACCCCCGCATTCAACACATACAATAAGTAATACTTAGCCATAAAAATTGTATAAACATTTAGTTACATGTGAAAGTATCTTCTTGCGTGCGCGCGCGCTTATATACCTATATATGTATGTATGTATGTGTGTGTGTGTGTGTGTGTGTGTGTGTGTGTGTGTGTGTGTGTGTGTGCGTGCGCGCAAGTGTGTGAAAAGAGCATCCACGCGCGATTCACCCCCGCGCATGATGATGTGCACACGTGCGCTATGCACAGGTATGCATCGTTCATCTGCAAATGGCCGACTCGTACGAACGATACACAATTGTGCATGTGCACGTAGCCGGCGAGGGAGGAAGAGAATGAAATCGCGTATCGCAAAAAGGGTATGAATCGAGAGAGAAAGATCGCGAGCGAGACGGTGAACAAAGAGAGAAAGAGCGAGAAGGGGTGCGCTCGATCGTTAAAGCGCCACAACCCCCACCGCCTGATTCCCTCACGCCCATTCATAAAGTTGCACCCCGTTAATTCTTAGTATCTCGTTCAGCGTTTTCTCAATATCGCCGTATGCGAGGGTATATACCGGGATCGCATTTCTTTCTTTCCGCGAAATCTCCAATTTTTCTCAAGCACCTTCATCCCTCTTTTCTACTTTTTCATTCGCTCAAAGTGACTATTCGGAGAATTTTCCGATTTTTCTTTAATAAATTATTTTTGCGAAAATGAAGATTCTAAATATTTGAGATCTTAATGATTATTCATGAGGATGTTTGATTGATAATGATTTATGATTCAGGATGTACTCGTTAATGTATTCATGGAGGATTGACCGCTCCTGTGTGACTCAATGCAACACCTGTTCCTCTCTCGGGGGATGAAATCCGACTTGTCCGATCGACCCTGGCTGGCGGCTGAAGGTCGTCGTCGTCGTTGGAGGGTAGAAGAGCGGGAGGCGAGGGAGCGAGAAAGGGAGGGTTTGGATGCCGCAGTGCTCCCGCGAGCGCGAGCAAATAAAAGTCCAAGCCCGGCATTGAGCGGGTGCCTCCATTCATGGATTCCGGGCGCAGGCGCCTCGTCGCGAAACCGCATGGCGTTGCCCGGGGAAGGGGTTCGCGAGAGAAGTCACCTACGCTGTGCTCCCCCGGCATCGCGATACGTGGGCGACGCGGGTGATTCAGAGGTAGAGCGAGCCGGAGTAAGGGCGGACCAGTTCTGTTCCTCTCGCGCGCCGGCTCGACTCGCCGCGAGAGACCCGGCTTCGACAGAGGGTGACTCTGACATAAAAGAGAGAAAGGAAGGAAGGGAAGACCAAAATTCGAGGACCGTTCTCTTTCGCGCCTCTCGAGATCTTCGCCCTGACGGGTTTCGCTTCGCGAAGCGGTGTTGCTTCTCGGCTTTTTCTCCACGTCTTTCTTCTACCCTCGACGAGCGATGGCTCGCGTTCGCCGACACGTCAAGTGAGTGAGTTTTGCGACTCCTTTCTCCCTTTTCTCCGGGCTAGAATCCTCGAGAATCTCTGTATCAGAAATACTTGTGTTATTGTGTGCAAGAATCGTGCGAGAATCATCGAGAATATGCGCGGAAAAAGTCGGATAAATGCGGTAATTTTTGGAAAAAAAAGCATCTTATCTTAAGTTTTGTTAATCCAATGCTTATACATAACGTTTCATATTTTGCATATCATTTCTTAAACATTTTGTAGTATTCTGAGCTTCTATTCTAGCCTTCTTCCTCCATGATTTAAATTCATTAGACTTTTATTTTTATAGTCTCATTTAAAAATATTTATGCATTATATATATATATAGTGTTATTTATAATTAATAATTTATAAGGAACATTTTTATAGTCACATTTGAAAAGATTTAATGCATTATATATATATAGTATTATTTATAATTAATAATTTATAAGGAACATTTATCGCGAATTAAAGATCTTCGTACACAAAAGAGTCGAGACATAAATTTGGAATGGATTTTGAAAGGGTCGAGTGAAAGTTGGAAGAGGGGGTAGGTCATGGGGTCGTTACGATTATATTATATTACATAGATTATATTATATTATATAGAGATGGAGGGAATGAAAAGTTTCGAAGTACGAAAGGACATCAAAAATATTCCATTCCAAGTTATCCCCAATTCGGATCCCACGAGCCGAGCTCGACTACTACTGCTAAGTAGTCGAGCTCGAGCTTATGCGAGACAAGCCGGCTTGTAAGTCCTTCATCTCCCGATTAGTCGAGTTACTCGTTCCACGTAAAGGACTCTCTTCCCACAGTCGGAGAAACGTCGGGATTCTGCTCACCTGCGTCCGACACCTCGTATAAACACCGGCTATATCCTGTCCAGTCGTCAAAGGCATTAAATCTTGAAAAAGTACGTAAATACGAAAAAGAGAGGCATGCTCGCTGCACGTCAGTTCGACTACTTCGCGGACGAACATTCATACGAGAGGTGAGATGGTATTGTTATTAATTTATTCATTGTTTTATTATTACTTTTATTTATTTATTTATCCAAGTTCTTTTTTTTTTCTTTTTAGATTTTGTAGAAATTGTCTTATGATATTTTTCTACATGCATTGTTATTAATTTATTCCTTGTTTTATTATTACTTTTATTTGATTTTTTTTTATTTTTTAGATTTTACGTACTGTGTCTCGTGATATTTTTCTACATGCTGTATTTACAATATGCATTGTTTTTATACTTATTTTTACAATTTTATTGAGAAACGTCAACGTCTTCGCAAATTCCTTCGTATCGCGTTAGCCTTGTGTGCGTTTCCTTTTTGCGACATTGAAACTCGAACGAGAGCGAAAGTAGCGGACGATGCCACTCGGCGCCCATCAGTGAAAACGAAACCGGGAAACTTTGACCTTTTTCGCCGAAAATTGCAAGCGTTGCCGGCTCAAACTAGCTTTAATTGTCAAGATATCAAACGTTGAAATTTGTGAAAGGTATTTTAAAAAAATATTTGGAATATTTAAAATTACGAAAGGAGGCCGATTCATGTTCGAAAAACATTTAGAATGTTATAAAAGTACCTTATTAACATCCCAGATAGCACAGCTATTCGAAAAGAATTCATTTGGATGTCACCTTGTATGTCACCAATTTCATTTTACAAAATGAATTCTATATGTATTTGAAAAGGGACTCGAAATTGGTGACATACAAATGAATTCTTTTCGAATAGCTTGTGCTATCTGGGATCCTCTGAATGTTTTTCGAACATGTGAGCTGATAGGAATATGCTATTTCCTCTCATGAGGCGTTATCATTAAAGACCTTTGCTAAATATATATATCACATTTTTTAAAATATAGAATAAAAAAAGAAGATTACATAAAATATAAAAGAATACAAAAAATGGCAATTAAAATAGACCTTTAATGGTATTCTCGCGTGTTAGTCTTTATTCAAGGAAACTATAAAAATTGCACACACGCGCGCATAACAAATTGATATACGGACAAGAATGAGGAGTTTTGGTATCGACAGACATTTGGTGAAATTATGTAGGTGTATATATGTATAACGGGCAACACACCCGTTATACATATTTTAGATGAATATATCCAATCACGCATGCCCGCACAACCACATGCTATAGCGTATACGCGTGTGCTCGCACGCGACACATTTACACGCAGATATCGGCCATTTTACTTTCTCCTCCTTCCTCCCTTTTACCCTCCAGAGGAAAAGCTGATCTGACCTTGGTCGCCATGGCGATTTCAAGGATACCGTCTGCCGAATGCCACAGAGCGCCCAGAAAAAGACACAAGTTCGGGGGTCTGTTTTATGCTTGTCGTATGCTTCCACTCTCGAATTATTACACACAATACGAAGGAAGAATTTTTATTTTCCGTGTTTTCGATTTTTAATTATCGCGAGAAACTCGTATCCAGTGCCTTACTTTATTATGAGATCAATATCTTGAATCACATATTTTACACATATGTATATATGTACATTTTTCAATGAGGACATATCTTGTTAATTAATCGAAAATAAAGAAATGCATATGTGACAGTTAAACATTTAATTAATATTAGTATTTAACAATTGTTTGAGCAATACTTTCGTTTTTGCTAGTCATATATATATATATATATATATATATATATATATATATATATAACTTCGAGATTATAAAACGGAATTTTAAAGATTTTTGCGAATTTATATATGATTACATAAATCTTAAAGCGAGTATCTTGCTTCGCGATATTGCGAATAGAGCAGAATTTAATCTTGATTTTAATAGAGTTTCAACAAAACGAAAGGGCATGAACTTATATGATTTTGGGATTAATCCAGAGAATTGTGTGGTAAACACGAACTTGTTGCCTGTTATGTTTATTACGTTGGAAAGCGAGTGAACTTTCTTATGTATATATACACAACCTGATGTGAAATCTAATGAAATATTATACATACATAAAAAGTTTACATACACACACGAAAGCAATCCTTTAAATAATTCTTCTGTATGATATAAATTATCTAAGGTAAAGATTTTTACTTTTATTTGATTTTTTTTTATTTTTTAGATTTTACGTACTGTGTCTCGTGATATTTTTCTACATGCTGTATTTACAATATGCATTGTTTTTATACTTATTTTTACAATTTTATTGAGAAACGTCAACGTCTTCGCAAATTCCGCGCAAAAAAATAGACAAAAGTATATTTTTTAATTAATTTGATCCGAGCAACATTTTCAAACGAAACTTTACAATATATATTATATAATAATATTGAAATTTTTTGATTTAAATTATATTGCTATTTTTTATCATAAGCTAAAAAAATTCGATGTCAATAAGTTAGTTGAGAAAAATAATGTAAAAGTAGGATACCCTTATTTATTATACAAAGTGACCTCGTCGCAATCTTGAGACATAAACTTTGTCAACAAGAAACTCGATGATCAGTTCGGTGTGAACGACAGACCGTGGAACATCAACAACTATCGTTACGAAGGCTTGTTTCTAGAGAAACAGGCAAGTCGAGCCGCATCGATCAGGTAGAAGTCGCAGAGCTGATTATTTGTGCGATTTTTTAGTATAAATCATTTTCACGTTTATTGATTCATTACATACGTCGATTAAATCGATTTCCGACTTTCGGGCATATTTGTCTCGCGATCGCGACAAGATATCTCGTCTTTAATTAGGATTATATCTCATCATTTCTCTTTAGCACTCTTTAATGTAGATTTCTTAATTAATATGTAAAATCGAGCTTTCTCCGGCGAAAAAAAATATCGAGAAGAATTTAAATCGTGGAATTTTTAATATTATATATATTTTTTTTCCAAAAAATTCTCGTGACTTCTGAATAACGATCGAGTCATCGTTTCGATGAGCGAAAATGTCAGTCAGTCAGTGCGCAGATTCGTGAACAGTACAGTTTTCTACGCATAATAAAGAGAAGTCATAACATTTGCGAGATGGAATGCGCTTTTGAATATCGTACAATGTTCGGTGAAATAGATACGTTTGGTGAACAAACTGATTTTGCAAAAGGTTGAAACCGTTATACCTTCGAAGAGAGTTGGAGCTTCGGTGTTGTGAATATATACATATATATGTATATTCGGAAACGTGTATCGCGAAAGAGATATTGTTTTCTTTATCACGAATAAACGTAAAGGTCATTTCTGTATCTAAAATTGCTTTCTATTATAAGTGCTCTTACATTTTTGAAGAATCGAAATAAATTTGAATAAATTTATTCTTTCTCGATTTGCAGAAATTTTTGCGGTTCGTTAGTTTCTTTCAAAATCATAATTTTCCCTTATTCGGATACAAAATTTACGTTTCCTTCCGAGTTTCTAAGACCGATTAAAGTTCCATTAAATTTGCAAAACGAAAACGGAGCATAATCCATTGAATCCAATTCTTTCGTATGGATTATATTTGATGTTGCTATATATTTGCGTAAATAGATGACAATTGATATGGAAAATGCTTCGATAAAATGTAAAAAAAAAACCAGTGAAATACTGATCAATATTTTAACATTTCCGTATCGTTTCAGGAAAACAAGATTTTTCAATAGTGCGGCACGAGATACCTCTTTAGAGTTTTATCAGCAATTTTTACCCGTCACCATGAATCAATTAAAGTCTCCCCGCAACAGGGTAGATTATAATCGCCATTTCATGCAAGTAAGTAATTTTCATTTATTTTTTCAATCTGTAGAGAAATATTTTAACATATAAATTTTTATATTAAAAGATTTTTAAACATAAACATTACGTGTCTGTTCAATTTTCTGATAAGAAATTGTTTAGTCGATTTTGGAGAGAGAATTAAAGTATGAAATTTTAATAAAAAACAATTTGATTATATAATAAAAAAAATAAATTTACAAGTTACAATTTATCAATCGTTTAAAATTATCTTTTAATTTATGTTTCAAATACTGGTCGAGTACGCAAACTTGAAATGAACAAAATGTTTCAGCTGACAAATAAGCCTCGAAAGCAAGAAGACCAGCACTTCACGCCCAAAAGACTTAGTAACGTGAGAAAAGCTCGATCGTTTTCAAGTCCCAGCCCGGAGAGGTTCATGAGGCACTTTTCTCCGGGGAAACTTTCGCAGCAGCATCCAAATAGCAATTTGTCAAGCCAGTCGATTTTCAATCAAGCAGATTCCTCATTTCTATATCAACCAAGGCTATATAATCAAAGCATGGTCGTCGGTTCGCTAGGTTCTACAGGTGACAGTCGACCAGGCTCTTCGGATGACAGTCTAGCGAACCGATCTTCGCCGATTCGCCAGCTGGATACCAGTTCACCAGACGATTTCGGGTACTTTCGAATGTTTGAGGATGCTAGTATACCAGACGTCTCCGGTCTGAGCTTTTCGAGCGCCCCTAATTCAAGCGAGAACTGCCAAGCGGATTGCGAGACGTTCGAAGATCTCAACATGAATTTTCTCAAGTTCGATTTGCTGGACATAAACGACAACTATTCCATACGACAGCCATCTGAGCAGTTGATCCACAATTCGAATGTCCAGAGCGATATGTCCAGCGTGCCACTGATGACGTTGGCAACGAAAGAGTTAGAAATAACGCAGGATATGGGACAAGATAGCTACTCCGAACAAAAATCACCAGAGCAACAAATCCATAGTCCGAACCTTCAGAGAGATGAGCCATTGATGCCGTTGATGCCGAAGACATTTGAGATTGTGAATGAGATGGAGAAGGATGACGATGCCGGAAATATCCAGAGAGACGTGTCTAGCGTACCGCTGATGGAGAACGAGCTAGAACTGGCAAAGGAGACAGAGATAGCGACAGAGATTGAGAATAATCAATCGCTCGACCATTCATCGAACGATACATTGCCGTACCATTGCGGTAAACATCCATACACTCAGCTGCTTTACTGTCAAACCTGCTGCAAGTCGGTTTGCAAAGAGTGCGCCGTTCATTGCACTTGTAAACATGTGACGGTTGATCTCGTAGAGTTCACTGAGACCGCTCAACGTCAAGCTGAAGACGTATTAATGGAAGCCTATCTTGGGATAGACGTTCTTGCTGATGATATGGAAAATATGGGGGTAAGTCAACTTCATTTTGGTCGAGCAACGCGAAAGTCAATTTCTCCGTCAGTTTTTTCTATAATTATATATATATATATTTATTTTTTTTTTTAATAGAAATTTTTGTATTAAAATATGTGAGGTAATTAGAAAAATTGAAATTAAATAATAATTTTTTTCAAGTCTTTCAAAAGGATAAAGAGAATTAAATTCTAGAAAGTACAGATTAAAAAAAATTAATTTCTTGCAGTTGGATATTGCAGCGTTAGATCAGAGAACCAGGGAGGCGCTTAGCGATGTGAAGTTCTTCTCACGTAGAATGTGGTCTGCCGTAGAAGAGAGGGAGAAGAAATTATTTAAGCAAATTGTGGAGGCGCGACGATGGAAGTTCGAGGTTCTTCACGAAAGATATATGCATTTGAAAGAGGATAAGAGTCGGCTGGCGCATGCCGTAAGCGCCCTTAAATACGCCATCTACGACGCGCGATTTCCCAATCTCGCGTGTAATCCCGACGATCTTTTGAAAAGGAAAGACATGGTGTTGGCTGAGGTACATATACTTTTATTCTGTATAAAGACACACATTTATATATCTCGTAATTTTTTTAAAATTTCGTACGTTTGCGCAGATCTGGCAGATTCGTCAGAATCGGAAGATGAAGTCCCGGTCTACTCGAGAAGAGAATTGGATCTCGTTCAAGAGTTCCGACAGCAATGTATTGGCCGTGATCGCCAACGGCGGAAACGTCTTGCTGAACAGTCCGGGCACGATCGGAGATCGTCTACCATCGAATCGCGATTATAGATTATCGCAATACTTTCCGTACGGACTCAACGAGCAAATGATGCAACCGATACCGCGCGGTCGCCCAATAGCGAATTATGAGCGCAACATCGTTCTTCCGAATAGAAAAGCCGACTTGCAGATCAAGAGCACGGATGTCCAGATCATCGGCCACTTTGGTGAAAACAATGCCGAAAACCTCTGTCGCCCGTGGGGATTAACCTGCGATAATGAGGGTAACATCATAGTGAGCGATAGATCAAATAATCGCATACAGATTTATCGCGACGACGGCACGCTTGTCAGGAAGTTCGGAAGCTACGGCAATGGTCCTTGCCAATTTAATCGTCCAGCAGGAATCGCCGTCGACGCCCGACGTCGCCTCATCGTCGTCGACAAGGATAACCATCGCATCCAGGTTCGTGGTACAATGCGTTTCTTCTCATGATGCGAAATTCTCTTTGATTGAAGGTTCAATTATGTAACCATAAACAGATTAAAACAAGTTGAAGATTTAGAGCTTTGACAAGTTTAAACTGCAATATAAAATCGTGGTGTTTCAGATCTTAACGATGGAAGGTGAGTTCCTGAGGTCCTTTGGCGAGCATGGCGAAAAACAAGGCCAGTTTTGTTATCCGTGGGACGTGGCGGTAAACACTGCTTGCGAAATCGCGGTCACAGACACCAGAAATCACCGCGTCCAGTTGTTTAGCGCCGAGGGTATTCCGCTGCGTATGTTTGGCGGTCAACAACATCTGCTCAGGTATTTGGATTCGCCGCGCGGCATCTGTTTCAATCAGGAGGGCAAGCTCATCGTCACGGATTTCAACAATCATCATTTATTAATAATCGAGCATAATATGACGGATATGCGTATACTTAAGTGCGAGAAAGAGTTAAAGGGCAAGAAGCAGGACGGCAGCGGAGAAAACGACGGGCAAAACGACGAAAACGCACCTACGTTTCAGAGACCGCAGGGCGTAATAGTGGCCGACGACGGTAGCATCCTCGTTGCGGACTCTCGCCATAATTCGATCAAGGCGTTCAACTCGGTCGGCTCATTAATCTATTCGTACAAGCCGGGTCAAGACGAAATGGATCGTCCGCTCGGCATAGCCCTTTACTGGGATGGTAGAATGGCGTTCACGGATTACGGCCGTAATTACGTGCGCTTAGTAAGACTGGAACATCATGTGGATCCGGTCTCGAGGAATGCTATTATGTTCGGTTGATATCCTAGGATATCAAATGCATTATCCTGGTGAATCAATCGAGATGCAGACAAGAAGAACGAGATTCTTGTTTGCAAAACGTACGAACGGCATCAATTGCCGCAACTTTTACAATAGCAACGCGTGGCGAGATTTTTAATTATCTACTTTCTGCCACCAGTAAATTGCTGTAGGATATAATGTTTGAAAATTTAATGTTTTGTTAAAAACGCGAAAAATTATGACAAAAATATTTTCAGCGGTGAAAATAACAAATAAGTAATAAACGTGAGAGAGATGAAAGTTATGCATGCTCAACGCCGTTTTGCGTTTTCTCGATAAATATATATATTACACACATCTCCAATCGATTTTCGAAATTAAAAGTTTATTTTGTATTTATTTTCCTTTTTTATCTTCGGATTTTTTATCTATTTATTTCTTTGTATTTTAATTTTTTTTTATTTTTATGCACATATTTGTCTATCTTGTTATCTTTTATTTCGCATAATTACTTTATATGTATATCAGACGCTCAATTTTATTCTCGAGAAAAAGCGGCAATTTATCATTTTGGTATATTTATCAATAATGTTTGTCAGAAATGCAACTTTCATCTTCAATCTCTATTACTGATTTATTATTTTCATTGTTATTTATTTTATTTTGTTATAAAATATGTTCACTTTTTACAATTGTGCTATACATATATATTTTTTATAATTTTATTATATAATATAGCACGTTATGTGTTATAATTGGATAGACACATGGAAAAATGTAGTTTAGATATTTTTAGATATTTATTTTCCAATTTAAAAACAGACAAAATCTCGAAGCAAAACACAATATAGCGGATAAAGAGAACCGTGTATGCGCTACACGTTTTACATAAACAGGACATAACTGATCGAACGATCGATCGACGGTGCATTGTTGGAAAAATATGATGACGTAGAAAATTAATGAGAGAATCTACAAATTCAGATTGAAATCATATTTTATTGATTTTTTTATTGGTTAGAAGATTCGATTATTTTTTTCGAATTACAATTCATGGTTTTTTCTATCTTTATACTTTTTAATGAAAAATTATTAATCTTGTTTGTTTATCAAATTAAAACATGAATTCAATTCATTTGTGAATGTGTAAGAAAGTGTTTTCTGTAATGTTATTTTTGTCTAAATGCAAATTGTGTGTATAACAACAAACATGATTCTGCTTATCAACTTGATTTTAGAAAGAAAAAACAGAAATTAAACACAATAATGCCTATATATTTTTTTATTTTTATTATTTTCCTAAATACGTACACATATATGATAAATTTATACAGTTAAGTTATATTTCGCATTTCCTTTTAACATTTGCTAGTATAAAATAATGAAGAAATGAGAGAGACCAAAGATTTTTTTTTTACGTCAAGTTTTTTATTATTTTTAGCGTATACTTTTCTTTTGTAATATTTTAAATATTTTTTTATATTGATTTTTAATAAGAGACTTTTTTATCGATATTTTAAATCGTATAAAGATTTACGCTTTTTTGAAGTAAAGAAAAAGATTTTTAAATTTAAATTAGATTTTTAAACATGCAAGTCTTTATTATTCTTTTCAGCATTTATCCAGGTAGGATTAAGTAAACGGAGGAATATCGGACACACACAAAATCATGAATGACGATATGTCTTGAAAATAAATATCCGTAAGATGTTGAACGAAGAAATATCGATGAGAAAGTATCAAATAAGAAAGTGACAGATAGGGGAAATGTCCAATTTTGTATTCCCCGCATTCAAGGCGCATTACGGTTCTCTTAAGCTCGAGAAGGCAACATGTATTATCAATATAGATTATTAGTATCGTTAAGAATTAGCGGATAAGTTTATTGTTAAGGGATAATTATCTAATATATAATGTTAGACATTAACGTGAATTAATCGTTATCACGGTTGAGACGATCAGTACAAAGTTGTGCATGCGTGTGTATGAGAGACCGCGATAGAAATTGCTTATTGTTAAAGGAACGACGGCGGAATGTTGATTATTTTTCGACGTTGTTTGACAAGGTCCGATTGAAATTCTACTGTTGATTTGACGTATTCGCATATGTATTATGTGCGAATTATTATTGCGACATCCGTATAATATAGGTAGGAATCATGGACATCCGCAGGATTTTTTCCAGGGGAGCATGGTTATCATTTTTGTTTATTTCATATTTTTTGTTCTTTCTTAATTATTTTTAAACTTAATTTTTAATTTTTATTTTTTATATTAAAGATGCATAAATTCTAGTGTTTCCAAAAGGAAAGCAAATGCTTAATTCTTTTTACTAATTTCAAGGGGAACAAATGCCTCCTTTTGTTCAGATTCATGCGGATGTTCATGATCCGCCAATTCTCTCGGATCGGTTTGCAAATTTTCGCGTTGTTCCTTCGGCATCTTCCATATGCTATATGAACATTCTAGTACTAGAACAGCCAATGTTGTATATCCTATCGGATATAATTCTGCTTCTACCTCTATAAGCTGTACATGTGGAGTGACATTGGTCGTTTTAGTTTCCTAGAAAGAATATTCTCTCCCCGCGTTAGACTTTTCTCCGTAGGTTATACTTATTGTTAATTAATATTCAAAAATAGCAAAGTAGCGTCTGATATATGAAGGAAAAAATATTTTTAGAGATATAAAAAAGAGAAATGCCTGATATGTGAGTGGAAGATGCGCGCTGCATGATAATAGATAACAATGCTTTTTTAAGAATATCTCATGCGCGAGAAATGATATTATTTGCTCGAATATCTCGTAAAGTGGCGATGATAAAAAAAGTGATGATATATATTATTATTATATTTAATATATTTCACTCTTACCTCATGTCACATGTGAGAAGATTACTCTTACCTCATGTGACACGAATGTCGTGTGTTAGTATTCAATGCAAAACGCGCGCATTCGTGTAACGCCAAGTTTTGGCTGTGTTAAACATACAAGGAAATCACAAAAAATATTTAAAAAAAAAACGCGAGTCCACTTTATGATATATCTGTACGACAAAAGAGAAAATCTCGCGACGGTATTTTTTTAAATGATAAAAGAGCGCATGAATATACACACACATACACAAACATATACATATACACACATATATTTGGTAACAGGAAGAGATCGCGTACGATTTTCTTTAAACAATCTCTCGTAAATGTGATTAGGGAGAAAGTTTCTACGTATATTAAAGATGATAATCGACGATTAAAGACGATCTGTATATGTATTATACGTCTATTATATGTTACATGCAATGTTTATTAATGAGAATCAATTTTTCTTAGATGATCACATCTGACAAGATCACGGCGAGAATTTATTCTTCGATTCCGATGTAAGGACGATGTATGTCTTTCGCGTATCACATAGAGACGCGCATCCTATTTTTACATACGCGCAGATACTACTTACAAAACGCGGATATACTGTCAAAACGGATTTAAAACAGGTCGATTATACGGTCAACGACGCAAAAGTCTGTTTGAAAAACGGGCACTAAACTTAGCTAAGCTTCTTCTGTCTCGTGTTTCGGATATACGTATATATGAGAATATAAACGAAGACGCGACAAAAGAAGATATTGGAAATATACAAAAAAAAAATAAAATATAAATAAAAATCAAAAATTACATACATCTGTCCGAGAAGACACTAAAAGAATGTTCTTCACATTCATTTTGCATATCATAGATTTGCTCATACAACACTAATCAACAATCTCTGTTATTAGCCACTAAGTAAGCACAGAATCTTTGCCAAACGAAAATCAATTTGAAAAATGCATTTTTAAATTTTCAAATTGTTTCTTTTTGTAATATTATAATTTTTGGTGTGTATCTCACACATGTAAAGTTTGTTATGTGACAGCCTCTTCTTGTGCGATGTATTTTTTCTTTTTTTTTATAAAAGAAATATGTAATTTGATTTTCTCTCTGTAAAGATTCTCATATACTTATAGATATTTAAGCGGTTTTAAAATTTCGATTTATGTATAAAATTACCGAGAGCTAGCAATTTTATTTGTCTTTGCATTTTTTCTTATTCGTTTTTTACTTGTCGTTTAGATAAATAAAAACATCGATGTCTGATGGATGCTGAAAAGCGAGAGATACTTTAATTGTACATATTAAAAGTACAATCGCAGACGGTGAAAGAAAATTGCAGCGTTCATCGACAATTCTTTGAAAGTTTATAAGAGCTTTCTTTTTTTTAATATAGCAATGCAGTGCCAAACTATATAATTCGCAAAAAAGCAAAGCATACGAAGAAGTCGAGGAAATGCGCAACCCAGATTATATGAAATTATATGTTAACTAACGTCATATTTTTGCGATTAATGGCAAAGATGACGCTAAAATCAATCAATTGTCAAAATATCAGTCCATCAACATCGAAGTTGGCTAACGTGTTATTATATAAAGTAACGTTACGCATAACGATAAAAATTACAGTTTTATAAGAGATGCGCTTTCACGGATGTAACATTTGCGAATAAGAAACGAGAAAGAAGGTTGAAAAGTTCCTATTTTGACGTTACAATTGCAAAATATCTTGCCGGCTTAATAATAATAGCTTAACTGACAATGATGAGTTAGTTTTTTATAAGCAAGTGTGTTAAAAGCTTTCTCTAAGTTATCGGCGCTAAACGTTCACGAATTTATGTATATTTGCGTTCCTACAAAAGTTTAACTGATCACCCCGAGATTTTTAAATAATAATTCCAGTTAGAAGTCATAAATTCACTGTAACTGTAGAATCGCAAACGTTTCATCGATCGGCACTCGATTACGAATAATAATTTGTGAGTGCCGCGTATGTGTCCGTGTGCGTGCATATCTACGTATGAGTATCTGTATTAGATCAGATCGCACAAATTTACGTGCGTTAAGTATTTATGAAAAGATAAACTTTTAATGATTAAACATGTCAAAATAATTACAGTGTAGTGCATTTGTCAAACGAACCCCTTTTTTCTTATTTACATTGCATTTAATTCGTTCCATAATTGTTATAATTAAAATCAATTAATTAACTTCCATAAATGAAAATCTAACTTGTTTATGAGATTTTTTTATAATAATTTTTTATCATATTCCGCGCGATTATTTTTGACAGCAATCAGCTGATAACTGTCAAAAATATTAATAGTTTAATAGTATATTATAGCATATTATTTAAAAATTTAATTAGCAAATTAACGTTTGAATCGATGAGTTTTTTTGTCAAGAAATATAAAGCGATAATTTCTATTTAGTTCTAAATATAAAATTATTATAGTTGTATAATTAAATGAAAATTAAATATTAATTAAATATTCTCCTAAGTTGCGTAAAATTGTATCTTTTTTACGTATGCAAAAATATTCATGAAATACTACATCTTACTATATATCTCGCATTATACCGTAACGTTAAAAATCATATAGAGAAGATATTGAATAACGTGTGATTAGAATAAATATTGTAGCTGAGATTATATATCGCGACACTTTATATAACACGAAGACTCTATTACAGCGATTTCTTCATCCTCGCTGACCTGATATTGCACCATTTATTTCCGCACACACCCTGCCGCTGACTATATCTCGAAAAGCGAGATGCAATTTGCATCTATGTAGACGCCGCATATTGTCGATCATTATCTGTGTCAGAGTAACGGTGTATATACAAAGAAAGGTTGTAGTTATATGACATAGTATATTTAAATTAAGTTTCATTTATTCTGCATAGTCTTACATCATATCTTTACACAGCACGTGCTAATCTACACGAAAGGGCGCTGCGGAACGTTAATATAAATTCCAGTTTTTTTGTTTTGAAAATACCATACGCACGTAAATTCGACGGATTGAGACGTCACAAATAAAAATACTAAAAGATATACTAATAAGAAATCACATGTTTGTAGAAATCTCGCTAGGTTACATTTTTCAAAGATATTAAATTTTTCTTTTTTTCCTTCTCACAGATCTAGTTACGGAGCTAACCCGAGAATATCAACAACGAGAATGAATTTTGCAATGGGATACAACAGTATAAAAAACACCGAAAGAGAAGAGAACACGCGTGATTCTTTCGCACTCACTAGCCTTGTATTTCGGCTAAGTGACGTCAAAGAATCGCGCTATTTTTCGGACTATAACACCAAAGAATCGTGGTGCAACGGGCTCGGATCTGTTATGGTCGCTTCGCAACGGAGCGAAGTTTCAAATCTTAATCTGCACAAATATGGATGTGATTATCATTAATCAAAGGCCCCTTCGAGCGCTATCACAAGTAGAGAGGAGAGTAGCGTGCCGAGCTAAAATTAGCTCTCTCGCTCGTGGCAATTGAATCCATTTTTTTTTTATCTAGAGAGTGCGACATATACAGAATGTCGTCGATTATTGCGCGAATTGGCAAATCAACTCTCTTCTTCAAACTGCGAAGCGATTATTACCCTGCATACGCAAAACAATCTCCGCAATGACGACCAAACTATCGCAATAGTCAGGTTGATTTGATTACAAGTCCTTTTTTTATGCTAAAGCAACGTCATAGATCGTAATTTCAAACGATGGTTTACGAGAGAAGCGACAGCTTCTCTAGACGAGTGACACCGTTCGCTTGCATGTGCAATCGCGATTCATTTACCGGGTATAATTTCTCCCAGTCAAACGATTGAGTCAATCCCAATCGTGAATTAAAGGAGAGAAAAGGGAGAGAGAGAACCGACTTATAGATCGCAATCTTGAGTGTCCTAACAAGTAACGTTGCAGGTACCTTTAGGAATTAATAGTTCGCAAATTGAATGTCACGTCACGTGCGAGTTTAGACCGCCGATAAGATATCGAAAAGCCCAAATCGTCGCAATTTCTGCTTTCACGTTAGTCTTTCGAGGTTCTTTCTTCTCGTAAATATCAGCGTTTTCCAGGAACGCGTCGTTCTAAGTGCGATGAGAGGATCGAGACCTTCTCGAGTACTTCTTCCTCTCAGTAACGATACGTCAAACGGCTCCGCACTCCTCGCTCGACGGCGACTCGTCGCTGGCCGAAGGTCTGGGTGGCCTGGGCGGTCGCGGCGGTCGATGATGATGCAACGTGGGCGCCGGCCTCCTCGGAGGTGGCGGCGGATGCGTCCCGTAGGACGTGTCGTCTCCCTCCTCGCTGCTGGGCGACGGCGAAGGCGCTCGGTCCTCCTGCTCCTGTAGCAGCTGCCGAAACTCTTGGATCGACTCGTTCAAAGACCATAGTTGCGACAGTAAAGAGAGATCAAGTTGCCGCAACCCAAACTGTAAAAAAAAAAAAAACAGATTGAAATTGTTATAACGATAGAAGTATGAAAATAAAATTGTCTTTCTTTCTTTGATAATATAAAAGTGATTATGTAATTCACTCATGATTCGCTTTTTTAAATTATTTATTATCCGTGAATTGTTGCGAAATTTCGCGTAGGACTCAATCTAGAAACTGCAGTGTACCTGGCGCATTCACTTTTACCATACGGTCACCAAGGTAAATGTTACCTCGTGATTTACAGACTGAAATGACGCATTTCCAAGCGACTCGGCGGTCGTGGGAACGTAGAGAAGGAGAGAATCGTAGTATAGAAGAGAACATAAAATGAGAATAAGAAGAATACGAGAGGCCTAGAGAGGCGGAGAGCGCGACGAAAGGAGAAACGAGATTGGAAGGAGAAGAACTACGAGGAGCGGATGAGAGAAGAGCGAAGGTGAAAGAGAGCGACCGGGTGGAAAAGGAAGGGGTCTCTCCGGAGGAGGAACATCGAGTCATGCCCGAGGAAACGTAGCGTGGGAGCGGCTGTGCTAGTTCGCATCGTGTGTTGTCTGGGATGACTATTAAATTATTAGCCTAACTTAAGGTACACGGGGTACCACGTGATGTTAGCGCGCGAATCGGAGGTCCCAGGACAACAAACACTTGTCACGCGAGCGCGTGATTTCTTCTCTCCGGAGAAATTCTACACGAGGTCCCGTTAGAGTTAATTTCACAAAGATTGACCGCGAATGCTAAAGCGAATGTGATCAATGCGATGTGGCGAGAATTTTGTACGAAACGAGTAGTAATTCGCGAGATCGCCTAGGGTCAGTGGGACACTCGAAGGATCTTGCTCTCGTCGAGTAATAATGAGAAACATTATGGACAATGTTAACGAGATCTTGAGAGATACAAATTTCGTAAGCGATTATCCACGCAATTTTAATCGAAACAAAATTCTTTTTGGAATTTCGCGCGAAATATCTAGGAATCGACGCAGATGAATCTAATAAAGCAGCGCATTTGCATATTCCATCCGCTGCGCAAACAGAAATCTACAGCGTAAAATGCGTATCCATTGAAAAAGTAGAACCTCTATACACGACGAGTATATATATATATATGTGTATATATATATATATATATATATATATATATATATATGATATATAAGTATCCTCTCTACTGCGCTATGATACGATTTCCCTCGCTGCTTATGATCCCACGCATAAAATACACGCTCATCGCGCTCCGCAATTTATTCACACGCGATCGCGGCCTCGAGGTAACGGGTCGGTCGGGTCGCCCAAACAAACGCGGAAGAATCGAGAGAAAAAAAATGTCAGGAGCAACAGAGGTGGACAACCGAGTAGAAAATGACGACGGTTCACGGAACGTGCTCGGATTGACGACTGAAATATCGAGGATAAGGAGTGGCAAGGCTTACAAAGTTCGCATTAACACAGTAAAATCGGCAATCCGAAAAAATACCTTAAAAAAAATGAAAGAGAATTTAAGAAATCAAAAATGGAAAAAATAGGATACAAAAGATATGAAAGAATTAAAAAGTATATTATAAAATATACTGTAGAGCCAAGTTTAAAGCATTGAAATGACAAATTATTACGCGAGGAAACGAGGTTCGCGCATATAAACTACGCCAGCTTCCGCCTCGGTGTCAGAGCGATCAATGGCAACGGAAATCTCTCGAGTTATTTTTAAATCACGCGCATTATTACACGCGAACGCGTGGAATTTTCCCGTATGCTCGTACATTTCGCGTCGCAGCGGATGACTAATGGTTTCTATTGAAGTTAATGGCTGCCGCGTTAGAGGATGCACAATTTCAGACACCACTTTGAACAGCATCGACAATTCACCGGCTGCTGCATCTCGGACGATGCTGCTGCTGTTGCGCATTGCAAAATGTAATGTTCAAATATTTTTGCAATTGTTTTTAAAAAATGCTCAGTCATCCTTTCCTGTTTTTGTTCGATGTTAATCGCTTGAGTCACTTATTAATCAAAGTCCGCAACATTACATGTAAAGAATTTTTAAATCTCTCTCTCAATATGTGAAAGTTAAATATATGAGTCATGTCTGTATTTTTTTGTATTTTACTCATTTAAAAATGATTCATAAATACTGCAAGAAAAGCATCAAATATAAATCATCGAGTTGTCAAAAAACAATTAACAATGCTCTTTTAAGCGCGTTAAATTACGAAATAAAAAATTCCATACTTCTATATATTTTTCCCATTATTAAATAAATAATACATAAAAAAAATTATAGAAGATGCGTAATTAAGTACGCAAAAACCATATGAAAAGCCTATATTCTACATGACTCCGCGCAGTACTATTATATAGTTTTTGCTTTAAGAAATGAGTATATATCGGGAGAGGGTTGCGTTTCCCCGAGCAAAGTAACGAGACCGGATTCCTCGGCGTTTGACGCGAAAGAGAGCGCAAACGATTCTCTCGAATAGAGTACCATTTCTCTCCTGAGTACCGCCAGCTGGGTATCCAGGGTGGTGAGTTGTCTGGCAGGTGGCGACGGCCTGGATGACGACGGTTTACCGCCTCTTTGGGATTTACTCGACGACCTCGTGGGCGGTGGAGGTGGCTCACCGTTCTCGCCGCGTCCGCTCAGGTTGAAACCGCTCAGACTCCTCGGTAACGGGGGTAGTCCTTGCAGAGAAGACATCGCGATCCTTTCTTGTATGCTGGAACAAAACGCCAGGTTTCACTTTTTATGGCAATTTGTATTAATGTGTAGTCATACATTTGTTTAGCGCCTTTAACATTAGGATAACGCAATGAGTTTCTAGTGATAAAATAAATAGCTAAAATTGTTCTGTAATATTTGAGTTCAAAACTAATTCTATTTTCTGGCACATGGCAAGTTTATAAATTGCTGACGATTCTGAAAACATCAGAAATCCACGAGGGAAATGAATTTATAGTATAGTTGTACATGGAAGAACATCTGCGCGAGAAGAGAGAAAGAGAAAGAGAGTGAGCAAGGTGAAGAGAAGCGAGAGAGGAATCGAATATTCTTTCCTGTGAATTGCCAAAGGCAAAATATGATGGAGGCCGCAGGAAACGGGGATACCGTTACACGATCATTTTATGGAATAAAAATCGATCTGTCTTGAGAGTGTCGGTCGCCTGCGGTCAAGAAGGCGGAGGATTTTGTGAATGACTCACTTTGCCCTGCTGTTATCATCATCGCGTGTATATACATCGCACAAGTGTGTGCTCGTTTTTTTTATCGATATAAGACTCGATTCTGCGGCCTGTCTGTTTTTCATTTTATTTTCCGCACTGAGACGAGATGGATCAGATGCTTCGACAAGCACAGTATCGATTTAATACACACAGAGGTTGCAGATACCGATATATCGGTTTAATACACGGAAAGAATTTTTCTTAGAATTCATCCTGAAAATCATGATAATCGCGAGACAATATGACATTGGAAGAATTTTATAAGAGTTTCTTTGATTAATATTTACCACAATAAAAATACTAATACATTGTAAAATTACAGAACAGTTTAACTTGAAAGAAAAAAATTCTCTGTGTACTTTGCAAACACTGCAATTAATTAATTTAATTTTATTGTTAGAAAATTCTTCATAGTGCGAAAACATTTATGTAAGTCTCTATATATGCATATATATTTTTCCTTCCCACTTTTTTATTGTAATATTAATTAAAGTTTGTATAATTGTTTATATGTGTGTATCTATGTATATTATATATTATTATATATATATATTAAGATATATTATTATATTATTCTTAAATATTATTTCTAATATTAAAACGTTGCGTATTTTTTAGACTATTCAATTTTACGATGGAGAGAAAATCAAAAGTGATGCGAGAACTGTCGGAACGAGAGATAGGAAAGAGAGCAAGAACATGCATTTTTTTAAATGTTAGTTGCACTAACGAACGGTCAGTTTGTATAGCGTGTCGACACGGTATTTATCGCGCGACGCGAGAAAGCGGCGCGTTTTTATCGCCGAATCGTTGAATCCAGATCAACGAGTACGGTAACAATGCACGAGTCTCTCTGCAGCTATCACTCCTCGATAATTAATACGTTAGCATCTACTGCTCCTCGATAATTAATATGTGAGCAGCACCGATATATTCAGTCACGTCTCATGACGTTACATCACAAAGATCATTTATCCGATAAATTAATATAGCATTTCAACATGTCTTTATTATCATTACACGCTCGGAATAAAAGTGTCACACGGAGAGAATTTTCACTTATAAATTATCCTGAAAATCATATGGTAATCGTAAAACATAATGTGATATTGAAAGAATTTTATAAGAGTTTCTCTGATTAAATATATATTTACCACAATAAAAAATATTAATATGTGCACAGTAAAATTAATCGAACATATTTTATATCAGGTAATTTTTTTTACTTTAGTAAATATTAATCAGAGAAATTTATAAAAAATTCTTCCAATACTATATTGTCCCACGATTTGCATGTTTCTAAGGTAAATTCTAATAAGAGAAAATTCTCTCTGTGCATGATTATCAAATATCGCTTGAAAAAATCCGTGTTAAATATTTTAATAAAATATTCGAGGCATTAAAATTTAAAAAGACATTTTTAAATATTAAATATTAATTCTTTTTAATTTAAATGGAATATAATCTTTCTGTTATCATAAACGTAATGCATTCCAAATAAGATTCATGCAGCCTGGAGTTTTACATTAGAAGCGCGGTCTCTTGAAAAGACAATTTATTTCCAATTAAAAAGATTTCAAGTTCCGTCACCATCGGCGAACGGAAAAGAGTCTCATTTATATCCAGCATCGTCATGAATTTTTAAATCGATCCATTACATAATCGCTCGCGATTTTCCTCATCGCAATTTCAGTGTTCTACCTGATAAAATCGAGATCAGTGATCCTCTCCTCCTCACGATGATCGTAACCGTTGATACGATGATCCCCGTCGACGATGTCGTCTCCGTGCAGAGTGATCTGCGTGGAGGAGTAATGGACTCCCGCCTCCAGCCAATCCTGCCGATGAATATTGTTGTCACCGTCGTCCTCATCGTCGTCGTCGTCGTTATTGTCCTCATGATCGCTAAGTGCGATTTTACGCTCTGGTTCGTCGATGACGAGCACCGTGGTAGCGGCGCGGTCAACGCTCGGGACGCTGGTCGATCTCTCGATCGAGGATACAGCCTCGACGCTATCGTTCCCGGCAGTCTTTCCCTTCGAGACAATTTCCGGATGCTGTTTCTGCCGATGCTGTTGCTCCCCGGGACACGGTTTGCACGTGGGCGTCGACCTAACTCGCTCGTCATCTGCCTCTCTCTCCGGGCTGCCGTTGCATTTTTCCGGATGACTCACCATGACTTGTCCGCCGGCGGAATCCGGACTGGAGAACGAGGCGCGAGGTCTGTCTTCCAAGGACATGTTGACAGTTCTGGCGACTTCAACTCTCTCCGTCGCGTTCTCCTTCAGCTGATCCTTACCGGGCAAAGCCCTGCATCGTCCTCGATAATCCAACAGACCCACCGGATCCTTCCCGCGGGAGTTTCCGCGAGTCTCCAGTCTCTGCTGAGGTCGTTGATCCTCGGTCAAGCTGTTGCGTTTCCGGACGACGTTTACCGGAATGTTTCCCGTGGGATGAAGCCTCCCCGAGCTAATATTCTCGTGATGTTCGTGAGACGAGGCAATCTTGCCTCCATTCTCTGGCCGATTGTCCTCGACATTCCTGTCTGTATTTCGCGCCTGCTTGCGATCTCTATCATCAGATGCACTCTCGTCCTTGCAGTCCTCCCTGATGGACTCGTACACGATCGTGCGTCCGGTCGTTGCTGGATCCACCTGTTGCTGTTGCGTCTGTTGCTGTGGTTGTTGTTGTTGATTGGATCTCCAGGGCTTCATGTTCGGCGGCGGCGGTGCCTGTCTAGTAGGACAGGGCGGCCTTGGCGACCTCTTAAGGGCCTCGGCGACCACCTGCCGACTCGGCCGAGGTGGCACCGGAGGCGGGTGAGGTCTCTGACTGGTTGCTAACTGCATTCCGCACGTTTTTCGGATCGTCTAACCGCTCATTCTCGACGGCGACGCGCTTGCGTGCGCGAAAATATACTTGGCACCTGGAAACGTGTTTTTTTTTCTCTTTCTCTCGACGACGTTGCACTCGAAATGAAATTCTTCTCGGCGGAAAATACTTGTGCTAACTCTGCGTTCCGTTGCTATCGCGTCATTCGCGATATTAGCCTTAGTGGCGCTGAAAAATATTTATGTATGCACGTGCACTTCAAAGTGTGAAATGTCTCTCTCTCGCGTTAAATGGAGGTCGAATTGTCAACTGCATCTTAGTCTTTCGAGTCGTACTAACTGCACCCTTCCCCGAAGCAGTTTTGTAAAAGTATGCGCACCATCACTCCGCGACACTAAATGTCAGTGGTAATGCACCTTCTCACCTGACGCGGTGAAAACTGCGTTCAGGTAAAGTATCTTCAAGATAAGAGAGAGGGACGACGAGTTTTATCGCGTTGTTCCTTATCACGCGCGCGAATCAATTAGGAATGTGCAAATTATGAAGTAAACTGTCAACGATGTCTCTTGAACCAAAATACATTTCTGACATGAAAATCCATCCAACAATTTCGTAATGTTTCTCCTGTTTAAAATCCGCGATCGCGAATTGTAGAAACGATTACTGCGGCCGGATATACTCCTTCTAACATGCATAAGTTCTATATGGTAATAGTAGTGGAATGGTGGGGGATTTTTCCTTCGCTTTAAAACGCATGAACGAGCAACGTGCACGTCGAATGCGGATCAGAAATGACAAGTGTGTTGTGCAACGTCGCCGCGCGCTTTTACGCCGTTGTGCCAGCGAAATCGCCGCGATTCCTGTGCCTCGCGTCGATTCACCGTTTCCTTCTTTTTTTTTTCGTCTCTCTCTTCTCTTTCGTTCCTCTTCCCTCGCGAGAGTCCACCTCGTCCTCTTTATTCGTAAGCGGGTCGCGATCGCGGGCCGATGCCCCGCGATATCGCCGACGCGATTTTGCATACAATCCCGTGAAAATCGGTGAACGCTCGCGTCGGTTCTCGTTAATAGTTTCACATGCGCGCAGCCTTTAATCTCCTAAATTTACTCCGTTTTCGTTCGCGAAATCACCAGAGTATAATAAATCGTTAAGTGCGTCCTCGGTCTTCTTACCGATTTTACGCTAGAGAAGCCGCAGAGAGGATTCGATTTCTCAGATTTTCTCATCGGAGAATGATCTCTCATTCCGGCTGATCTTCCGAGATGTTGTTACGGTCTCGATTCTCGCCTTTCTATCTCGATCGCACGTGCTTTTTTTTTATCAAGAGTGCGTATACGCGAATAGAATCTTCTCCCTGCTCTTTTCGAACGAAGGCAATCTGGTTTATCTGGCGTTTCGCGGATAAACTTTCTACCGCATACCGCATCCGCGACGCAAATGGTCGCAATCATCAGCTAGCAGAAGCCTGGCAAGATTTATTTTCTCTCAATCCAGTGTCTCCCTTTTCAATTTCCTTCCTGGATTCTGTAAAGAAAAATTCATTCGAGAGTTCGGTAATCGAACTCTTTTAACATCGACGAGAAAGTTAAGCAAGTGCGACAGCGAAATACTAGGAGAATCGGCTTCGTCTTCAGCTTCTCGTCCACATCTTCGCTTCCTCGAGTCTCGCTCGGCGTCACATCGCCTGTCTTCCACGTTTCAGTGCACCACGAAATACCTCACTTTCTAATGCACAACTAAATATCATATTAATTCCTGGCCTCGAGCGCGAACCCGACGTCTTCCTCCTGCGTAACGATATTCTTGAAACATTATGGGAGAATTTTTTCTCCCCCATTCACATGCTCCGGATACCGGGAATTCCTCCGTTCCATCGAGTCCAAAGATTCTTCCGGCTTCACGAACACACTTCGCTGACGAATATATATATATATTTCGCGAGATCACGGAGAACGGAGGCGCGAGACAACGTTGCTCCGAACTGCTGCCTACGGACAGGTAGAGCTAGAGCAACACCACGAAGACCTTAGGCGATATCCCCGATCCAGTATCTCCTTCTCCTTCTTCCATTCCATTCCTCCTTCTCTTTTCCTTCACCCGATCGCGCCGCCTCTCTATCCTCTCTTTCTCGACAGGCCGTCCGCCGCGGACTGACTTTGCGATCCCACAAACATCCTTCGCGATCAGCGTGGCCACGTGACTGGCCGAGAGCTCGAGTTCTCGTCAGGTAGTCAACAACGAATGTACGGCCTGTCGTGCGTCCGTTTGTGTGCGTGTGAATGAGCGAATGTGTGAGTCAGCGAGTGGGTGAGCGAACAAGCGGATGAGTGAGCTATCTGTATTTGTGTATGTAGAAGGCAACGTGAGAGGCAATAGAGCAGAGGTAAATGTAAGGACCCGCGCTCGCGTAGATGACGAGGGTTCAACGCGGCCTCTTAGCATACTGATCACGCTGACGTTGTGCGGGTTCGCGTTCGACGACGAAGAAAAACGCGGAGCGTTTCGAACCCTGGCTCGGCATATTACGTAAAAGCCTAGGGATCTGGGGAAAAAGCGATTATCGGCTTGAAGTCTTACGGAAAGTCGCGGTCGCGCACTTTCTAACATCATTGAGGTTGAGGTTTTTCTTCTCCCTGAGGATGTTATTTCTCTACACAGAATTTTTTTTTTTAGTATTTACCCTGAAAATCATGATAATGTATTGGAAGAATTTTATAAGAGTTCCTCTGATTAATATTTTTATCACAATAAAAATTATTAATACCTTAATTTTATTATGTGCATATTAATATTTTTTATTGTGGAAAATATTAACCAAAAAATTTCTTATAAAATCAAACCATGATTTTCAAGAAAAAATTTTAAGAGAACATTTTTCTTTAAATTTGCACAAGAGTATAATCCTTCAAAAATCGCTCAGAAATAAAAATTTCTAATCTAATTCTAAAAAAATTATATTTCTAATAATATTTAGATTAAGTTATCAAAAATTATATTATTAATATACTCGTATTATAATGTAAGAATAATCATTTATAATTATAATTATTATACCATTATTATATCGTCATCTTTTATTGACGTAAGGTCTTTTATGCATTTCGCGAGTCTTAATTAAATATATTTACCCAAGATTGCTTAAGTTTATGTAAGCCGATTTCGTCACGACGTTTCGATGAAATTACAAGATTCACGTTATACTTCACGGTATCAGTCACATACCGTTTCTTCACTTTACATCATATTAAACGCAGGTGTTAATTATCCACGAATGCATTCATTTTCAATTTATAATAAATATTTATAATAAATATAAACTTTCTATAATTTGCAAAGAGCCTCTTATCGATTACCCCACGTCAATTTCAAACTTTTTTCAATGTCATCGTAATATACTTCGTGTAAAAAAAAAACACGAATTTCAAAGTACAAAAAAACAACACATTTACAAGATTTTACGACGAAGATACGTAAAGGAAATATCGCGACGAAAACAAAGTCGTTTGCGGCGCAATTAGCGCTAATTAAAAGAGTTAAAAGTCGCGCTTGCGTTATGAAACGCCGTGTCCCTGGACTCGGGGCCGAGCATCTCCGGGATCCTCGCTACCTCCATCAGCGTCTGGTGTAGGTGTGCATGTATCGCGGTTGGTACCGCGTGAGAGAGTAACCTGGAGGAGAGAACGAGAGAGGGAAGAAGAAGAAGGATTATCGGAGGAAGTAACGAACAGAGCAAGACGGAGAGAAAAGGGAAGGGACCCATTAGGTCCCCCTACGTCTCTTTCTCTCTCTTTCTTTCTGGCGATGAGCTGCTGGTCCCCCGATGCCGAGGAGTTCTCCGTTCTCCAGTGCCGTAGCTTGCGCGACATTTTTAGCTTTCGCTCGTGTTTCCGTGCCTCTCTCTTTTTCTCTCTTTCTGTGCTCGAAGATTGCGGAAAGTAGACGAGCACGATTATCCCTGATTCGCCGTAATTTCTCTTAACGAAGACAAATTCCCCGCTTTTTAAGCGTCCTGTCACGCTCGAGTTTATTTTCGACTCCGACGTGATTTTATATAAAAGGCTGCCTCTCTAATAGAGCCGCATTCAATGGTGCTTTTAATTCCTTTGATGTTAACGGAGTCTTTAGCGTTCCTCTTTCATTAGTACCTATTTATTTCGTTGTCACTTTCCTCCTTATCCTATTTAATTACTTCATTTATCGCAGCGGTATCGTAAAACTTGTTCTAGAATTGCTAGAATCTAGGACAGATTTTAAAGATTTTTTTTCGAGTTTATTTCAAATTATTTCCTTGTAATAGAATTAATGCGATTATATTTCGCTCATTAAAGCGATGTTCATAAGAAATTGCAGTATATCCTGAAGCGCGCGCGCGAATTAATTTCAGGATATCTTTGAAACGTAATTAATACTCTGTTGAGAGTATTAATCATTTGACGAGATATATTTTTATACGTAATACATTTTTTTCAAAACTAATCTAAGAATTATATATGTTGCAAAGTATTTTGATAAAGATTATTGTTCCATATAATAGATAGCGCGATAAATTTTACTTTAAAATAAAATAACAGCGTATACGTTTACGGATTTTCGTCGAGAAAAATATATTTTGTTCCGGATATCAGTTACATTTTCACGAGCGCTCTTCTCGCCGCGACTTTCCTCGGGTAAATGTCCCTGATTCTAGAAACTCGCGAGATGATACGCATTATCAGCGATCGCGATCGCCGCGAATCGTTTATCCCGTCCGCCCATTCACGACGCAATTAAGGCCAAAGTGGCACGTCGGCCGGGCCGGGAAAACGCGCGGGCTTGGAATTTATTCACACTCTGTTTCGTTCTGGCTCAGGTAAAAACCCAGCCGTTCCACTTTTGCGGCCGATCTCCCGCCGATAAAATGCAAATCGATGCGGCGCAGCGTCTCCGACGCGACGATCGTCCCTAGCTATAAAGACCGGTCGAAATCGGATCGTGAGTATATAATAGGTATCGTAGATGTAGCCGTCTGACAGTTACGTTTACAACGCGACCGTCAAAACGAATTCGACTCGAAACTGGGTCATGGGGTTTCGTGAGATACGCGATTCGAGACGCGCGTTTCGAATACTGATGCTAGTCAGCTGTTTGTCAAATCAATGCCTTAAACAGAAGAGATGCTTTAGGAGAGATGCCTTTATAACATGTAATACACGGAGAGAATTTTCTCTTAGAATTTTATCTTGAAAATCATGATAATCGTGGAACTATATGATACTGGAAGAATTTTATTGCAATTTCTCTGATTAATATTTACGACGATAAAAAATATATATATCTACCACAATAAGATATAAAATGTTTTATTAATTTAATATGTACATCGTAAAAAATGTTAATATAAAACAATATTTTATTGTGGTAATCAATACTCGAGTATGGAATAAATGAAGAATATATAGACAGAGAGAATTTTTTTTAAATTTATCCCGAAAATCATGGTTATATTTTATATAAGAGTTTCTTTCATTAATATTTACTCCAATAAAAAATATTAATATGTACATAGTAAAATTAATCGAACGTATTTTATATTTTATTGTGATATACATTGTGATATATATTTTAATATTTTTTATTGTGATAAAGTATTTAATCAGAGAAACTTTTATATATAAAATTCCTCCAATACCACATTGTCTCAAGATTATCATGATTTTCAAGGTTTTATAATGTTATATAATTCATATTTTCACTTTTAGAGATTTTTCAAGATACCAAATTAAAAAATACTATTTTGCAAACACTTAGCAATAATTTTTCTATAACGTTTCACGATAGTATTGAAATGTGACTTGCGTGTGCTATTCTTACATTCTGTACTTTAACCAGCTCTTTATCCAGTCGTAACATAATAGCATACAAGTGTATGCGGAATATCTCTCTCTCTCTCTCTCTCTCTCTCTCTCTCTTTCTCTCGTAACGATAAATAATTCAGTCTTTTTCGCAAACGTAAACACGAAATTGACTCACAGAACGAGCGAAATAGAATCGTCACGTTAAAAATGATACGCTCGCACGGTGTTACTCCGACTTTCTTCTACTATTTACTCGCATGCTCCGCGTTCCATTAAACATGTCAGAGTTTTCTCGCACACGATTATGTCTGCAAAATACACGAGGTTCCCGCAATTAAGGCGGAAAAGGAGACCCGGACGATGGGACCGTAACCACACTCTGTTGAGAGGATGATTATGCCGCGGCTATTACGTTACATTCTCGACACGCGGAACGTATACACACGAGACGCTGACAGCGCGTATCGTTGAATGCGACTTATTAATAATTCAACGAACACGAATATGCGTCATCTGCAGCCTCCAGATACGAGGAGAGGGGTGCAATCGCTCTGATAAGCCTCATCGTAACCTTTTGAACCTGATGCGTAGATTTGGATGCCACTCGGAGAATGCGGAAGTCATTAAAAGTTTTGTTAATTAAAGTTCCTAAATTCAGTAAATATCGCCCTACGGTTATCAGATTTCTGAAACATTCTTTGTGCATTTATAATTATAAATTATAGAAATATAATAGAAATTAAATATAATATATATTTGAATTATATTATTTAAATAATCAATTATATTATATAAATCAATTATGAAAATTATAAAAATTCATTATATACGCGCTGCTGAGATATGAAGAGTTAGAAGATCCATGAAAAGTAATGATTGCCAATTGGTTGCATCAGTCATGCAAGAATGCATGTTGGGTTGTCATGCGGCAGGCGGAATTAATCATCAGCGGATGGATGCTTTTTTGTTTAGATAACGTCCTAAATTGATAGCGGTATATATATATATACTCTCTCTTAGAAAACATACAAGTTAATCGCTTATACCAGTCCCGTTAGAACTGAGTTCTCAGTGATATACTGAATATATACGTGGCGAATCGATTTAAGAAATATGTGTTTACGAATACATGTTAAGAAGCATATTGCTATTTGCTACACGGAGAGAATTTTTTCTTAGAATTTATCCTGAAAATCATGGTAATCGTGGAGCAATATTGGTATTATAATTTGATTAATATTTACCACAATAACAAATATTAATATGTACATAGTAAAATTAATCGAATATATTTTATATCTTATTGTGGTAGACTCTAACATTTTTTATTGTGGTAAATATTAATTAGAGAAATTTAAAATTCTTTCAATATCATATTGTTCCAACAATTACCATGATTTGCATGATGCACAAAGAGTATTGATTACCAAAATTTCTCTATGTGTACTTAAACTCTGCAATTAATTAATTTAATAATATGATATTGGAAGAATTTTATAAAAGTTCCTCTGTGATTAAATATTTTTACTACAATGAAAAATATTAATATTTACCACAATAATATATATAAAATATGTTCGATTTATTTTACTATGTACATCGTAAAATATAATATTAACATTTTTTATTGTGGTAAATATTTAATCAGAGAAACTCTTATAAAATTCTTCCAATACGATTACCATGATTTTCAGGATAGATCCTAAGAGAATTAAAATTCTCTCTGTGTATTACTGATAATTGCCTTAGCAATTTTTCTTTAACAGACTTGGAATCGATTGCACGAATCGAAAAGTCCGCAAATGATCTATCTATTATCATGACATGCTCTTCCTAAAAAATAAAACCAAAAAAAATAGAAAAAAATAGCTTATTCAATATGTATCTCCACGTTTCGGCAGCCGGCTCTCGGGACGGACACGCGTTATTACCTGATTTACTCGCTGCGTGCTGACACCTGCGGGCCTGTCCGGAAAGCGTCGGCGGTTACTCCTTGAACTTCCACTCCTGGCGACACATCGGGCAGATGTGGCTGGTCTGCTGCGAGTGCAGCCACTTCATGATGCAGTGTATGTGGAAACAATGCGAGCACTGCCCCCAGACTGGAAGAGAGAGCGACGAGGTGAATAGTCGGCGGCGCGTTTAAATTAATTTCGTCGAGGTCGACGTAGACGGTAATCGTCGACCGGGAGCATGAAACGCACACCTGGCGGCGGGGAGGGAGCGAGACGGTTTGTGGACGGACCGGTGCGTTTGTCGCGCGTACGCGCATCGATACGCGACGGACTAGCGAAGGGCGAGGGAGAGAAGAAGGGGATGGCTGCGGCGCCCCTGTGTCCTCTGTCAGTCGCGTTGTCTCTCTCCGACACCGGCGTCGATCGATATCGCGCGCCGTCGCGGACACGCGTTCCCGCCGCGGCGGCATTTTACGAGAGAGGGATCCGTTCCCTTTATACGGACTTCCTACGCTCGACGATACGTTTCGGTATTGAGACCATATGAAATAAATATCCTTCTTTTCAAACAAATAAAATCAATTTTATACAGGGCTTCGTCGAGAAAATCGATCATTATGAATTATAGTCAATTCTAATAGAAAATATGTATCATTTCGAAATCTCTATTTTTTATAGTTTTCCATCAATACATTTTTAAAGAATTTATTTTATATATTTATGTATGTTTTATTAAATATCTAATCAAATATTTATTTTAAAAAACTACTTAAAGAATCTATGCTGTGTTTAATATAATTATATATATCAAATAATGAAATATATATAATTAATTATATATACGTATAAAATAAATTCTTCAAATGATTCTTGAAAATAATTTTTAATAAAATGCTTTAAAACGCTTTAAGAAATATTTAAATAAAATCTATAAAAAATAGATTGATATTTCGAGATTGTATTTTTGAATATTTATCGAATATTATATGCGCGTTAATATTTATAAACGAGAAACAATGGGATTGAAATGAAATACCTAGTGGACAGTCATCTCCAGGAATCTTGCAATCCGGACAGCTGGCGTCGAACGGCATTCTGCATATGCCGCAATTATCGTCGTTGGCGATCCAACGCCATGTGGCGACACCTGTCCAACCTGAAGAAAGAACTAGTCTCAGAGTTGCCGGTCTATATGAATGTGACACTTCATGACTCATGACTGAGAAATTGTATAGAGTCGCAACCTAACCGCGTACACATGAGATTAAAAACTTTACATAACTTTACAGAATTCTACATAATTAGGCGGAATTAAAATATGTTCTTCATTAAATCGAAATTTTACCGATGTTTCCTCTTTCAGATATACTTACCTTTAATTGTCACTTTCATTCTGAAGTCGATGAGCGAAAGGCCCAGGAAATGTGGAAACGTTAAATAAACGTGTTAAAGAATGGCTTCCCTCTATGAATCTTCTGTTTTTCTCAATAATACGGAGCGATGACAGAAGTTGACTTGAAAAATATATTGTTTTTATCAAAAGACACGCGATCAACCAACTGCAACAAACAGAAGGAGCGTGGAGCGACTAACAGAACTGCGCCATCTTCAGAAATTTTCAAATCGGCGTACGAACATTTACGCGTAACAGATAAACATGTATATATCTTAAAATTGTTACCCAAATTTCTTTAATTTATATATAATTTTATCTGATTACGTGTTGACAGGAAACGAAATGTTCAACAAATTAATACAATAGAAAAAGAGAAAGTTTTTAAAAATATAATTATATCTTCCTAAATCTAATTTTCGCTATAAACAATTTCAGATTCTATATTAAATTATTTTGTTTTTGCTATGGAACGCAGAAATTAATTTCATCTCGTTACAAGCGATATATATTTTTTAAAGCTCTATTGGCTTAAATTTAATTATTTTTGCTTCGTGCAATATTTTTCAGCTTTATTCGTTATAAAATAGAAATGTCTCAATAATCGCGAGAGATATGTACCTTTTTTCCATACACGCAGAAAGCAAATTCTATCAAAAATTCCATCGGTTTCAATTTTCGCTGTTTATAGAGCAGAATGCGAAAACAAAACAAAATAAAAAATAATATTTGTCTTTATACTCGTTATACAGCGGAGAAGCAATTGACGTTAATGGCCCTTGTATACGCGACGGCGCGAGGCGGTAATCAATCTCCCGTTATGTTTCACATATCTATTATTTCCGAAAAAGCGGCAGGTTGATTGGCCCGATTGGCGACGTGTCCTTTTTTCCGTATGTATTGCGTCGAAAATCGCGACCCATCGAAAATTCCACCGGCTTCTATCCCTGACCGTGGCGCGGCGCGATGACGGTCGAATGGAAACGCTCCGTACGGTGGGAGAGCGCAGACTGCGAGAGCAAAAGAGAGAGAGAGAGAGAGGGAGAGAGTGACAACGCGCGCGTGCGCGCGCAAGGGGAACAGTGACAGAACGTGCGCGCGCGCGCGAGGCAGTGACAGCGTGGTGGGGAGAGTGGCAGCAGGCTGCGAGGAGCAGCAGTCGCCGCGGCTTTTGTCGTGCGTGCGGAGATGTGAGGGATCCGCGCACTGGTGGATAGCGTTCACTGGTGGACGACGAAGTCGGCGGGCACCGACGTACGGCCTTAAAACCGTCCGTTGAGGAGCCCTCAGGAAGGTAACATAATCGTAAAAAAATCATACAACATCGTCGGTATGACGGATCTGACAACTCGGGCGTCGTAGATCTTCTTCCTCGTCTCTCTCGTCACCGCGAGCGCGAGCGCGCGCCGTCCCAGCCTCCCAGTTCTCGTTCTCGGCGGGCCTTTTGCCCGACATGGCGGGCTTTCATGACAGGGACAGGGCCCTCTTCCCGATCCGGAGCATCTCCGCGATCGTGCAGATCTTCAAGAATCAGTTGGAGAACAGCGCCGAGCCGGATCTCGCGCTGCTCTCGATCCTCGTCGGCGCGGTCGAGAACTCGCTGACGTGCAATCACAGCTCCGGTGAGCAGGAGAACGCCGTCTACGACGAGCCGATGCTGCCGGCTGTCGAGTATCACATCGCCGAGGCGCTCTATACGAAATTTCACGCGGTCATCAAGGGCGCCGTCGATCTCACCGTATATGACACCAAATACGCCACCAGGGAGCTCGTCAAGAAGGTCTCGGACGTGATCTGGAACTCGCTTACCAGGAGTTACTACAAGGACCGAGCACATCTGCAGAGCCTTTACAGTTATTTGACAGCTAACAAGCTGGACTGCTACGGAGTGGCTTTTGCAGTGGTGGCTGGCTGTCAGGTCTTAGGATTCAAGGACGTGCATCTTGCCATGTCGGAGGATCACGCGTGGGTCGTCTACGGAGAGGATGGAACGGAGACCGCAGAGGTCACATGGCATGGTACGTTATATAGAGAGCACTTTTTTGGTAGAGTTTACATTCTTCTTTAGTTTGACATGAAAGATAAACTCACCAATCGTTCCTTGACAGGTAAGGGAAATGAGGACAAACGTGGACAACCAGTGGAACCTGGAGTAGCATCTCGATCGTGGTTATATTTAAATGGTCAAGCGATGGTGTGCAATCGTGCTCTAGAGGTGGCTACTATAGTATCAGCCATTAATCCTAGTATGAGCGCAACTACTGACGTTGCCGAAGTGGCACTAGTCCAGCAGGAACTATTGTGGTTGCTGTATGACTTGGGACATTTAGCTAAATATCCCATGGCATTGGGTAATCTCGCTGAACTGGAGGAGGCTGCACCAACACCAGGAAGGCCACCTCCTATAGATGTCTTTCAGGTTTGTTTTTTAAATTTGCTATTTATTGTGAGTAGTAATATTTTTCCTTTGTATTTATGCTGAATATATTTTTGTAGGAAGCTGTAAGGTCAGCGAGAAAGTTCTATGGTAACGCGCATGTCTATCCTTATACCTACTTAGGAGGATACCTGTATCGGCACAGATTGCATGTGAATGCATTTGCATCATGGGCCGATGCCGCCGATGTTTTGCGAAAGTGAGTGTCTGATTTTCTTTCTAAACTGCATGAACATGTCAGTGATAACAAATATGTTAAATATTGCTATTTGATTGATAAGCATTTATTAACGCTGAATTACAAATTTAGATACGATTACTCGCGGGACGACGGAGAGATATACAAAGAGCTGCTAGAGATTGCCAACGAACTGATACCATACGCGGTGCGTGTCGACGAGCGCCTGCTGCGACAACCACGTTGCTTCGCGTATCTGCTGAGATTCTACGACGGTATTTGCCAGTGGGAGGAGGGTGCCAACACTCCCGTGTTGCACATAGGTTGGGCTCGGCCGTTGGTAAACACAATCTCCAAATTCGACGCCAGTATACGCGCTCAGGTAGTAATAGAGTGTTACGAAACGGAGACGAAGCAGAAGGAGGAATCGCAGAAGAAGGAGACGAGTCCGGAGGAGACGCTGAACAACAACAACAACAATTATTGCAAGACCAAGGAACGTGGGAACGCGGCGCGAGATCTAATCAAGAGTCTAGAGTCGAAAGTGCCCTCCAACTCGACGTCGACGCATCCCAGTATTCAAGCTCTGACTGCGGCCTGCAGCGAGAAGATACTTAACAGAGATTACCTGCTGCAGGGCGGAGGCGAGCCATTCGTGGCGCCGCCGGACGATACTTTACCACCAGCACCTTCCACTTCCCAGGAGAATGTCGAGCCCGAAGTGGAGACGGACTCTGAGAACGAGAAGCCGAAGATAACGCTGTACAGTCAGAAGATGAAGGGTCTCAAGGATCTGTTGCTGGCGGAAAAGCTCAACACCCACGCGATCTCGTTGCAACTGACGGCGCAGAGTCAGGTACAAATCGGTAAGAAGTCGCGAGGCAGCGACGACGTGGGAGTTAGTCAGCGTCCGAAGAGGACGCGCCGTGAATAGTATAAGATCTTCGACCGACGTTTCGGTATAGTGAAATATTGAAAGTGCCACCACACACACAAACATATATTGTACACACACACATACATTAATAGCGGAAATTAAGTCTCCGCTCTCGGCGAGCTCTCGAGCAGATTGCGAGATGCGCAATGGCCGGCCATCCAACGCAGTTCGCGCAAAACAGTCATTAAGGTATATAACTATGTATATATACTGACTCTCCTCGCTCTCGGTGTTCCTCGTTGATATCTCCGGGACGCGGATCGTCCCTCGGGCTCCTTCGGAATCTCGACTAGCTCTCGAGAGTGTCGTGATGAATTTCGTGCCGTTTGATTTGAACGAAGCCCTCTCGTTTTTGCAACGACGTCGCGAATAAGTCGCGAGGCAACGTTTACGTTACCGTTTTTTCGGGGATATATCGCCGTTAGATATATACATATATATATTATAGCGTGTAAAGTAGGCACGGAGAAAAAATTTGTAGAAAAGTACAAAAAAGTTTTCCCCGCTTTTAAGTTTATGAACGGACGAGATTGCGCGGAGCTATCTCGCGATCGTCAACGATTCGAGTAAATTTGTAAATATCTCTCTTGATTCTTCCACAGCGTGTAGAGCTAGAACTTGCAGTGTAAAGTGGGGGAAGAAGGTGGGCAAAAGAATCGAATATTGTACCTAATCTGTCTCCGCGGGTAAATCAATCTTTTGGAGCACAGTTATTTATTCTACGAATTATACATATATATTATATAAATTCGACGATGTCGCTGACTAATTCTCTCGATGATCGTCAGTCTTTGTCATAGGTCTATAATCTATTGTTGCACTCTTAATTTATTGATTCACTCTTTTTTTTACTATTTGAGCTATTGCACAATCGATAATTTTATGATCAAGTTGCCGTTAATGTTTTTACACTTGGTAGTTGAACTTGTGTTAGAATTACGCTTCGTACGTTCTAGTAAGAAAACACATTCCACTCCGTATGTGGTGCAAACTAAATTAAGTTCTTACCTTAAGGTATTTTAAGCATAAAATTCTCGCTTATTTTTATAACTATTTATTTTCAGAGTATATAATTGTAAGAGTATATGTATATTTGTAAGACTCTTCTCTATTTTACTGTTTATCGATAGGGACGGAATAGGAGTGTATTAAACAGTACGTCATCTTTGAATCTGAATCGTCCGAATGCGAGATGACATCGCGTTTTTACTTTCGCGCGAAAAAAAAGAAATAGAAACGTACGCGATCAATATGCAGATCAGTATCACAGATCGCGCAATTTGATTCAATCTCTCTCTTCCTTCTTAGTGATAAGAGAACGCGTACACTTGTCCGACACGACATGAGAACCTGTTTTGTGGCGCTCTCATTCGCGTGCTCTGGAGATTCGTTTGTGAATTTGTAAAAACGGAAGCGACTCGCCAAGAATCGCTAAAAACCGGCAGTTTATGCCTCCTTTGGCTACACGATTCGCGACTTTTTAATTAATACTCTCCCGTTTATCTCGGATTTTCGCAGGTGCTGGATCTCTCCGCCACCTGTTCACAGTACGTAAAAAAACTCGTCGCATACGCGGTCGAGAAATCTTTGATGAAGTTTAAGCGGATTGTTGTAGAGTATGTTGTTGACAGGAATGAAAATATAAATGATCCGAGCTGATCGACGATAACTTAATAATGAAGGGCGCTATCTTACTGTGATGCTGAATATATACTATATATATATATTATATTATATATATAAAACACAACACAAATTATATATATATATATGTAATTATATGATTTAATAATCGTAGTTGATAAAAGAAAAACGAACGGCGCGGAGTAAGGGACGGGATTTTGCTTCACGCCGTGCCGCGATTATTGAAAAAAAATTCATTAAACGACCGTAGTATTATAACGTTAATCAAGGAACATGGAATGACAGTTCGTCGCCTGTACGATGCGCGCATACCAAAATTCACGCAAGATTCTTCTGCGAAACGATGTTGTACATCGACGATCGTTAAAGGCATCTCCGTTACCGCTCCTTTTTTTATATCAATTTTTTATATCGCTGTCCTCTATCTCTCTCTCTCTCTTTCTCTCTCTTGGTATCGAGACCGGATTGCGCCGACAATGGTTTATCTAGTTCTGAGCAGTGACTTTTCTTCAGGAAAGACGAATCTAAAATGCACGGCCCACGCTGTCGAAAATTAGATGCATAATTATCTACTTGAAGTTAATTAGCTTTGAAGTTGCAAGAAGCAGTAGCTCTCAATCAGAGACTTCTTGGGGAATCATCTTATTAATCACGGTTTAAATCTTGATACTTTTGTATAATCTATTCTATAATATTTTAATTGTTATAGTCAATAAATATATAATCGCTGCTCCGAATTGACGATTCCATTATGATAACATCTGATAATAGGCAACAAATTTAGTATTAAGACAAAATCGATGCAACCAGGTTTAGATTAGAAAACAATCGCATGAGAGAGCAACGATTGCGTTGTGATTCTCCAGAAGCTCTCCATTGCTTTGACCCAATTAAAAGGAATGATGAGCTTCTAGCGGGTCGTAATCGCAATCCAGATATTTCGGTACTTTTGTGCGCTAATCTTTCTTTTTTTCTCACAAACACATATATGTATAATCCATTATACTCTTACGTGTATCAGTATTTTTTTCTCGTCCACGATAACGGAGCGTTAAAGACTACAGGGATTATAATGTGCATAATGGTAGGGATAATAGGTGAAAAGATATGGTGCATCAGAACAGTATTTTTGTATTTAACGGGGGACGCACCCTCCGAATCGACGTATTAATCGGTATTAATGTTTGCGAGCGTAGACAAAAAAAAACAAATCAGAATGTGTAATATTTCGCTGGAACGTTCCGAATGGCAACCCGCACGATCGGCGGATTTATCGTGAAGTATTATACTTTTTCGTAAAACTTTCACCCGGAATTTTCGGCCAGATTGTGCGTACGAACCAGGCAAATCTTGCGTGCGAGTGAAACGAGTGGCGACACTTTATGAGCAACCGAAAATGACGATTACGAAACTTGACAGATAAGATCGTCATGTCATGTCATGATGAGATTCATGAGAAATCCTCTTTGTCAGTCACGTCTTCTCGCTTTCGTTCGTAAACGATTGCTCGGAATTGCGAAATACAAGATGTTTCATCCTCATCGCGTCAAGTCTTTATGACGTATTCTTTGATAAATTTTGTAATATTTTATTAGTGAATTTAGAGATATTATTTCAAAATTTCTCTCTAAATAATTTTAGGAAATTTGAGTCTTAAAAATTTAATTCTCTTAGTATTCAATCATTTTTACCAGACTTTCTACAAAAAATTAGGGAACAATTGATTTTAAATGTTCATCATTGAAGCTTGAAACATTTTGAAAATGATACATCTTGTATAACGTAGAAAATTGTACATGGTAGATTAATCTCCATCTTTATCCGTCTTTCTTATATGCTGTGCCCTTTTTACTTCCAACTTGCTGCCGTATTACCGTAAATAGAAAGTAGTATCCGCCATATATACTTCTCACTTCTTTTTCTTTTCTTTTTTTTTTTTAAATACGTTCTCTTTGAAGTCGCTTCGCTTTTTTATTACGATGAAATAATTGACATGATCAATGAAAATTATTTATAGGGAGAACCGCTTTATATAAGATCCTATCAGAGCATATTTTAACAAGTTAATTAACATTAGCAATGAGAATTTTTGTCAAAATTACGTTAAATCATGGAACTAAATAAGAGAATAATATAGAAGTATATATACAATAAAATCAAGTTTCCGATCAAATCAAATGAAAATAGTAGCGCGAAAAGACTGTATAATAAAATCTCATATTTTTTATCGTCCATTAACAAATTTGCTTTAAACGTTCTGTATCGCAGCTGTATTTTGTGATTTTTTTATTCGTTAAGATTTTTCCACGAGATTCTTTGTTACATAATCCCGATATTTGGAAGCTTCCCGCTTCTCGTAATGTATAAGGAACCGGTGCTCTTGATTCAATCCATCCGATATCTTTATTTATCCTCGTGTGCCATAATGCCCGCTTGCTGAACGTGCATGATTCATAGCCCGACACGTGCTAGCTACGTTGTTAGTCCTCCTTACACAAACGCTTTATAGGATCGATCAATCTTTTTGTCATGCGCAACTCATTCCGCTTAGCTAACACGTTTCCTTGTACACTTTAGCCTCTAACAAACGGAATCTTAAATGCGAATATTGTTTAATCGCTAACTATGAGATATATTTAATAAGAACATTATTGTTCGTTGCTTTTGATGCGCAAGACTTGAGGCATACATGACAAGAACTTCCGAGTTTAATAGAAATATTTGAAAGATATCGCAGAGATGCTCTTAAATTTTTGTAAATGTCTTCTAGAGACGTCTTTGAGATGTCTTTCGGATTTTGTCAGATACGCGTGTTTAACCGGCGAGAAAATGCAATTATGAAAATCTCCAACTTCTTGTCGGAATGACATCTCTTGTACTTTCGCTCGACTCATCGGTGTTTCATTAATTTCCATGACAGATGAATGAAGAGCTCTTGCAACGAATGACCCATTACGAGTTTAGATTCTGTATGCAGATGTTAAGCTTTATTTAAAAAGAAAAAATTGTTCTTTAACATCCGAGCATTTTACGCCAATTCTGGTCAAGTGCTTCAGGTTTTCGAGATTTATTATTCATGCCGATGATAACTCATTCGAAACTTCGTAATGGAGATGTACTTCCATGTGGGAGCGTGTTAATTAGAGTTGTATAGAGAAAAAAATGCTACGTTAGAATATAAAACTAAGTCCGAGTGTTTAAACACCTACATCTACGAGTAAAATTACACTTGCTAGGCATAACTTCTCATGTACTTAAGCGAACAAAAGCCGAAGAGAAGCCTCGGTGATATAAGCGTTATACCTACACACAAGCAGAGCTGTGTAAAATATTACTTCACAGTGTTTCGATTATAAGCAGTCAAATATTCTCTCTCGCATAATCACTTTTCTCTCAGAAGGCGCAGTAATCGCGGTGTCCTTTGGACATGTCAGTATACATAGATCTAGAGATTAGAAACGAACTAATTTATGGATACACATACAGATTTAATGCATAAATAATAGACCGTCAGATATATGAAGAATATGACGACGAGACATGATGCTCGCAAGAATGGAGTAATATTTTGCTTGTCTCTGGACAGCACCGATAACGATAAATTGCGATCACGATCGAATGTCCGGATTTACGGGCGTCATAAAAAAAAATAACAGGAGAGAGAAGAATGAAAGAGGAAGGAGAACACGCGATATTCTTCCGTAATGCAAATTGAAGGATAAGTGTATCGCGACACAATGAGATGGCGATAATCATCAGGATATATCATCGAATCGCGATATCATCAACGAATCATGTAACTTCTTTTTATCTATAAGGATACCAAACGCATAATTCGATCCGATCATAAGTCGGCCGGATCTTAGCTGTAGAGCTAAGCTAGAGTATTAAGATTGTTGTCGATATCGCGATACGGCGACGTTTTCGCAATCTCAATCAGAAGTGAGTGTAATCGCAGCTAATTGTTAAACTGACAGTGACAGTGAGACAGACAGATCTTAAGGCATCGTGGAAATGTCTTGTTTTTTTCTGTGGATTACAATAAACTATTTTATTCTAACTGCTGGTAACAGTTCAATTCTATCCCTGTTTCTTACATATATATATATATCCGTAATCCGTGTTATATAAAGCGCTCTTAGATTTACGTCACAAATTATGAAAATATATTCTATGTTAAATCCTTTTAAAGAATGAGAATTATTGTTGAAGTACACATTTCTCTTTATTGATCGACTTATGGTTTTTAACAAACGTCAGTTTTGTACATTATGTCGCAATCATATTTTGTGTCACTTATTAAAACGAAAATTCTAAATTTCTACAATTAACACTCTAGGCGACTGTTATAAAAGGCATAATAAATTACAGAGTTAAAGTAAGAGTTCTTAACTTTTCTAATAATATTTGGTCATTTGGTCGTTTTTGTAAAATCAAACGTTATATATTTTAATTAATGTGCACTATCCTCTTAAAGATGGATGTACAATGTTTTGGGGAAATATGATCTAAATAGATAGTTGCAACGCACGAATCCTCGAATCAAGAGGAAATGGTACGATGGTAACTTATATACTTTACAACTGAATATATATAATATATATATATTTATATAATATAACGAATCTCTATATAATACAAAATATCGAAAACCGTCAAAGGAGAGTCGCGAATGATATAATATTCCCGTTTACGCTGTTTATGCTCATTCGCAATCTCTGGCGACTGTCTTCGATCGATCTACTATTTACTATAACATCTATATATTCAGGTTCACGTTAATACTGCACTTACAAAAATTGTGCCCTGATTCGAGCAATGCGGCAAAACGCAGATGAAATAAATGCAATCGATTAAACGATTGAATAATTGATAACTCTTTTTAATTCCTGTTTTAAGAATATTTATATGCAAACTTTGTTCTCTAAATAAATAATTTTGATGATGAATTTATATGACAGGAAATGAAAAGAGTATATTGATTATCGTGCTATCTGATGAATCATCGTTTGAAACAATCATTGGATAATAAAACATTCTCGATTTATCTTTATACTGATTATTGATGATCCATCGTTTGAAAGAACCACTCTGTGAAACGTCGGAGTTGCTGCGCGGCTGCGTGATTCTCGTCCTTCAGACGACGGTTCTCATCTTCCAAGGAGAGGCGCAGATTCTCAGATTCCTGTAAACGTCGATTCTCATCACGCAATCGACGTACTTCGTCTTCCAACGAGAGTCGCAGACGCGTTTCCCTCGCCATTCTCAATTCGAGAGTGGATAGATGAGATTTCAAGTCCGAAACGGAATTCCTGGGAAAATGTTATTGTTGTTAATTAATCGCGTTCAATATTGTACCAACGTATGCTTACACTATATTACTTACGTGTTCGCATTGCACCCATCGATGAGTCTGTCATCGGACCATTCTTGAGGATGTTGCTTCATCGATCTGTTGGAATCCGCGTGTTGGTTCTTCCAACAATCCACATTCGCATCGTTATGATTTTTCATGTCTTTGATTGGTGTCAGATTGCTGTGCGATTTTGAGATCGAATGAAGTGGCTTCGTAACACGTGGCGATAATCTAAAGAAGAGTCATTACGTTATAAAATGAATAATTGTTACAGGTATGTAAACATTTTTATCAATTAAGTCTGTAATTTTTCATACCTTTCCTCTTTTGACAATTTATTTTCGCTCGGTGCTGGGCTTGAGGCAGTGCTGGCGTTGGAGATCACTGTAGCTGGTCTGGCCATGGTCAGAATCACTTCCGAGCCATTGTTTCCATTCTCTTGTCCATTCGCAGGTAATACGCTCAAGGTCGATGCGCTGTTGCCGCATAAATTCTCTCTAGATCTGCATCTATTTTGAATCTCCAGCATATTATTGTTAATTTTGTTTGAGTTTTGATTCGGATTCATCACGCTATTTACGAGATTATTGTTAACAATTTGACTGTCGTCGGCGATGTAATCTGGATTGATCAATCTCATAAGGTCCTCTTGTAGAGTGCTGGATGTCAAATTCGCGGAATTTCTGTGCGAATTTCTCATGCCCGGCTTCGGTCGAGGACTCTGATTCCTGGAGCTGCCGCTGGACGGGGTACGATTGCCACCGCGATGTTTATTGGCCCGTCGTAGTCGAGGAGATACGCTGCCAGAGCCGTTCGACAGCTCATCCTCGCTGGGCAGCGTCGTTACTTCCGGACAATTGACGTCCGATATTCGAACTTCCGGCGGCAGACTGGACGGGAAATCTTTCGTTTGTCGGTATTCGACGTTTACCTTATGCACCGGTCGCTCCGACATGCTAGTCTTCAGACAGGTAACCTTCTCGCCTACTTTGAAATCGTGCGACATCTCGTACTTTGCGGACTCTCGATTATGTTCGTTGTTGCTGTCGTTGTTGTGTTTCCTTTCGTTGCCACTGTGCTGACACTCCATCTCTTGATATTTGGCCTCTAGATCGTATTTACTGTTTCTCTTCTCGTAAATATCCTCTGAGTATTCATAACCGATCCTCTTCTCGTAACATCCTCGTACATCGTGCTCGTACTTGGTCGCTGGTCGATCGACCATTTTCTCCTCTTGTATCTCATACTTGGAATTTCTATTCACCTTTGTAGGTGTCTCGTAATCGTACTTGCCACCAGATTGTTCGTATTCATTGTACCTACCGAGGTTGTTGTTGCTGCCCGACTTTGGCAGACTGTAAACGGCATTATGCGTCAGTGGCAGCGAGTTTGACACGCCTAGTTTCTGATGGCCACTATGATGCTGTGCCTCGTTCTTGTGAAGCTCTCTCTGAGAAGCGTATAAATTTTCTTGCTTGATCTCGTACCGCTCCTTCTGCAGTTTCACGTAATTCGTCGTGATGTGATCCTGAGCGCGATGCGCATTGTCCAGCTGCCGCTGATAATTCTCATGCCGCGCATTCTCTTGAATCATTTTCGACGACACGTAATTGCTCTCCTTCGTATAGTGCTCGTGATTATGTTCGCGATGCTTCGAGCTATCCGCAAGCTGTTTGGCGCTGGCATAATGAGACTTGTCCTTCTTCTGGCTAGACTTGCTGGGTGTCACAACTTGATAGTTTTGCCGCGCTGGTAAAGGAGGCGGCGTACCATCCGTTGTTCGATGATTGCCATCTTGATCCTGCGGTTCTAGAAGCTCGTACCTAGAACAATAAATGCTTTGTTTCCTAATTGTAATATTAATTGAATCTGATAAAGAGAGACATAATGTCTTACATAAGTTTACACGTTCAACGATCGACAGTTCGAAAAGGATTGATTTGTTAACGTAACAATGAATGAATCGCGAAAGATTAATGTGATCTCATCTCTAATCACTCACCAACGATCATCGGCACTACTGTGTCCGCTACTGCTGCTAGTCATTGTACCCTCCAATGGAAACCGCGGATCGTTGAACGATCTAGAGCTCGATCCAGTACCGTACCCGGAGCTGTTGCTCGATCGCGGTGGGCTGAATGATCGATCGTATCGCCGTTGATGCGACATCGCAGTTTGCTGACTCGGCGTATTATCTGCGCTCGTCACGTTCTCATAATCTCCTTCGTAATTATTCGACAGATAATGGCAGTTTTGCAACGTGCAGCCTCTATCGTGTAGGAAACAGAATTAAAGAATCTATTTAATATTTAATTTTATTTTTATTTCTATTTAATATTTTCAGATAATTTAATTTAAAAAACGCGTTTCTCTAAATTAATTTTATTTTAACTAAAAATTGTGCAAGAGTTAAACTTATAAAAGCGGTACAAAAAATTTAATTGTTAGGTTGATGAGACTTAATTCTATCCCGAGAATTTTATTTACAAAATAATGAAAAATTAATGGAGAGAAGATGAAATTCAAGATTCTTTACCTTCGCGGATTTCCGTCGTTCGTTGCCGGTATTACGGTGACGGTAACCTGGGCGCTGGTCTTGAGTAGATCGACCATCTGATCGTGACTCAAGGTCGACACGGCCACCTTGCAAATCTCGACCAGCCTCGAGGCCTGTCTCAGACCCGCCTGCCACGACAGTCCCATACTTTCGACCTGCGTCACAACACCATCGGGTTGTACGTGGAAGCCCAATTGTCCGAGGTTGTTCCTCTTCAACGACAGCTCCGAGGCCGGCGCGCCTTGAGTTACGGCGCGGAGCCGTGCCACAATTTCCATTAACTCGTCCCTCTCACCGTAATCACCGCGTACGTGTATGGTGATGCACTCGCCTTGATGATGATACAATCTTAAACTGAGACGCAGAGCGAAGCAAACATGTTAGAGTGCAATCAGTCGTTCGATTTCCGATCGTCCGCAAGTGGTTCTTATGGATAAACTGATCTTGAATAATGCAGCGAAGCAATAAGTGATGGTTGCGCGCTTAACAATCGATTTCGGAATTTAATTGCGATTAAACATTAAAGGATTTAATTTTTTTCGCCATTAAAAAACTTTTAAGTTTTAAAATAATACGTAAAATATTAATTTGATGTTTAAAATAAGCAAAGGATGATTACCTGTTTGTTTGAGCATGCCATCCGAGCACGCTCACGCACGGAGTGACAAACACTATCTGTCTAGAATGTTCCTCGACCAGCACGATGGTGTCTATGCTTATACCTAAGTAACAATCTGTGTTCTGATTGCTATCCTCGAGTATGACCTGCCAGCAAATCGCGCCGCGTTGAGATGCATCGCAGGAGAGTCTCGGTCGTACAGTTGTCTTCTTCTTGCTGCTGAAGGATAGCATCGCTGTTTCGAGAAAGAGAATCAACATATTCTCAAAAATGCCAATTACAATAATTTCAAATTTAATTAATAGTTTTAATATATTAAACAGACCAAACAATTATAAATATTTAGTTAAGTTTATTATCTCGAAAAAATCGCGTAAAAAATTGTTTATTAATAAATAAAAATATTCTACTACTATTGTGATTTAAAAAAATCGAATGGATAATTTTCTAAAAAAATTTGAGCCATACAGAATTTTTGGCCAGTGTCGACAACTGTGGTGCTGGCATAATTCGTAGCCAGATCCTTCAGATACTCCTGTCTCGTTCTCGTGGCCATCGTGGCGAATTTTTCAGACCTAAGGAAAGGAAGTACATATTCAGTTCAATTAATTTTATCAACGTCTATAAAACGTCTATAAAAAATGAAAAGCACGATCATTTTACCTGTGAGCCGCATTTTCAGCGTTTATGACTTTGGCCAAAATAAAATCCACAAAAGTCTTTCCCTTCGCGAACGTAGCACCCTGCGGAATGGGTGGCCCGAAAATGGGCACGTCTTTGCTCCTGGACACCGCCACGCTGTACTGTGTATTTTCAGTGCAAGGATTTATCGCTCGCACGATGATGAATACGTGTTGAAATTGGGAGCGTATCCTTCGCGGGCTAAATGGTAATGCACCGGGTTCCTAAAAAATTACAAGATCTTCCATTAAGCTACTAGCAATAGGCAAAATCAATATTGACGTAAGTACGTAATCCGATCTCAATGTAAAATTAAATAATGATTCATTTTCAAATACGATGTCTCATAACGCTGTTCTCGCCTGTGTGAACAGACTGCAAACAATAAATCTAGCACGTCGCAAAAGAGCTGTGTGTCATACCCATGCTCATATTATTATTACACGATTGCGTAATCGCCTGGCGATTTAATTTCCACGACGTTAACGTGGAACTGTACCTGAAAAACTATCGTGACTATGTCGTTTCCGATGTGCCTCTTCCTCAGCAGCTGTTGCCGATTATTCGGTGTGAAGGGTAGCATAGTGGACACGTGAAAGGTGACTTCCGCTCCGCGATGCGTCGCCGCTACCGCGTGCGTCCCCGTAGAGTCGGTTCTGGTATCCAGCCCGGCCTTGTAACCCTCGAATCCTCGCAGTCTTATTCTTTGGCCTGTGTCATGAAAACCCGCAATTATCTCAATTGCCCGGCGCGCGGCTCAAGAATCGTTGGCCGTGTCTCGTTACATGTCTTCGACTTCCTCCGGGTATTCGCATATGCTCGCGAGCGACGTAATCAACTTTGTTTTTTGCGATTTAGTCATGGACAATTGTTATTTTAACAGAGCATGATGCTTCTTGGAACAAGCAGTGCGATCGTATCTTTTCGAGGGAAAATACAATACGCAGCAAACAATAAAAAAATATATCGTCATGCGTATATGTGCGTTTAAGAAAGAAAGAAAATGTTATATAAATCTATCTTGAAGTCATTTCCTTTATTTTGAAGATTACGCAGGATTACGCGTCGTGTTTACGTTCCACAAATTAAGTATCGAGATAACCATCGACCTGTTGCTCGCGGAAGCGGCGCAAAAAGCAACGATGCGACGCTCGAAAAAAAAAAAAAAAAAAAAAAAAAAAAAATTAGAACGCGTTTCTCTTTTAGAAAGCAATGCAACAGTAACTCTCGTTAACAGGAATAAGCAAGGCAACAATTCGCAATGTCCACACGTAACGATCGCGAAGTTGCATGTACGCGTTCGCGGATGATTAACTTTACGAAGTACCTTAGGTAAAATCATTTCAAAACATTGAATCGGTTTAATCAGCGATAAATAAGCGTCTCAAACTATCCGTAAAGTATCCGTGAGAATTACGTATAAAATTATGCATAAATCTCCCCTGACTTTTATTCGTGATGTTTACGAGAGAATAATTTTATCGACTTATAACGAGATTCCTGGCTCGCTAAACTCTGTTAATTCGTCTGTTAATGCGTATATCTCAAAAATAAAGAAATATATTTTAATAAATATGACTTTACTATCGTATAAAACTAAATAATATCGCGATGGAAAATAATGTACCGATAGCGTCCAGGAATTCCAAGAAGGCCGGACCGGCGTGCTGATTGTTATACATCTCCTCCTCGGACCTCTGGCCGGACCGACAGTACAGGACGCCCACTTTGTATCTGCTGGACAATCCCTGCTCGTCCAATCTGGCCAGCGCTTCCTCAGCGGCGGGCGTGCCAAGCCTCAGGCAACCTAGCTGCACTTCCGGCGCGACCAACTCCAAGAGCTCCCTCGTAGGCGGTCGGCCTTGCGGCCTGATGCCGAGAGCTTCCTCGGGCACGGAACCGCGCAGCGTCAGTAACTCTGACGTGCGTACGATCACGCGATACTGATTCACGTCTTTGCGAATGCTGATGGCCACCGGTCCCAATTGTTCGTCCATTCCGAACCAGTTCTGATGCTCTCGTCCTGCGGCAGAATATCCCTTTCTCTTTATCCGAGTGAAGGATCGAAATCTTGCAAAACTCTTTTGGTATTTATTTGCGCGAATTTTTTTATTTAGTTCCAGAGAGAGTTCATACTGTGAACTCCATCTTCAGATAAAAAATTATGTAGTTTATGCTTATATTTTTAAGATAAAAGTTAACTATAAACAATTAAAGCGCGCATTTTATAATACACGCAGTATGCGATTATTAATTAATTTCGACGTCTATGTCGTTGATTTACCGAGAAAATATCGGCGATAATAATGAGCCCCCTCGTCAACGCTCTCGATAGGCAGGGGACGTTTCTGTAGTGGACAAGTGTGCTTCCATAGAGTCTCGCCGGGCGGCGGTTCCAGGGCGGAAACGCCGTAGGACAGCGGCGGTCTGTGAATTCCGTTGCCATTCGAGCAACGAGTAAGACCGACCTCGCGTTCTCCCTCGCCGCCGATCTCGTTACGGAAGAAAGGACAAGGCTCCAGTAGATCGTTGCCTGAAATCGCAAACAGTAAGAAATTACATTCTTTAAAGAAAAAAAAACGAATCGCTCGACGATTCTTCAGTTTCTATCTTGTCAAAAAATTCATTTTTCTCTCCGTACCTTTGCCATCACCGGCATCTTCCTCGGGAGCCTCGTCGGGGGTAGAGGCTCTCAGAGCACTGGCGGCGGATGCTCCGGTAGCCGTGTTTCTTCTTCTGGCCAAAAGAATCCCCCGAAGTTTCGCGGCGTAGCCCAGATTCGCCGTTAACGACTGACAGTCGTAGTGGGCGAACGCGCGTCTCCGGTGACGTTCCTCTACGTCGGCCGACACCATAGGACTGGTGCACGTCTCCTCCATCGCTCGCGGTGGTTTGCCGCCCCACAGTCTGTTCAGCTTCAATCGTAGCTTCGGACTGGAACCGGCGCCAGTCGGGCCGCAGACCTCGTCGACGTCAAGCGGCTGGCCACTTCCGTCCTGATGAACTCGGCGCAGATAATCACTGGCGCCGCGCTGTTCTGTCGGTCGAAAGTCCTGCAGTAGAGCGAAGAAGTTTTCGCCGGCTGTGATGGACTGCGCCACTACATCGATGCTCCCTGCAACAGATCGAAATGCTCGTGTGCAATAATTGTAATTTTTAAAAAATTATTAACAAATATTAAATGTCGCGGAAAATTGTTATCTGAATATTTTCTCTCTTCTTATAATTATAAAATAAACTATTTAATTCGCGTACCGTGAGATCCATACTCTCTTCTGAGAGGCGTCTCTGGCACCCGGGAGGCAGGATCCGGACTGTGCGGAAGTTCCAAGCTGGAGTTGGACCTGTGAAGGGCCAATCCACGACCCACGCGGCTCACCGGCCCTCCGCTGCCGTTAATTGGCAGACTCGCGATCATCTCTTCATTCTATTAACATACAAAGACGAAAAGACATGTAAGAAACGAAGAAACATGGAGACTCGAAAATAATATGCAATACCAGACTATAATTCTTTAAACTCATGTTATAATTCTTTAAATTCGATTAATATTTTTTGACAGATATCAGCTGATTTCTGTCAAAAAATATTAATCGAGGTGTTTGTGTATGTAAAATATTACGGAATACATTTAAATAGGTCAGAATTTGCTAAATACATTTTTATGCTGTCTAGAAATTAGTTTCCACGCAGCTTAGTAGAAATAAACTAAGTGTCTTTAAACAAGCGCAAACTAGGACGACTAATTAGAATCATTGAGTCTTTCGCAGTCACGCGTCTCTCGCTTGGCACAAGCGTGCACATACATATACGTACACACACGAATCAAAAGTATACCCAAGGGTTCTACATATTCGCGCAACGAGTTCATTCATCCTGCGCGAAGCAGCTCTCGTGCCGTTCCCAACTTTTTTTATATCCTTCCCTCTTAATTAAATTGGCCCTTAATTACGATAGCAAGGTCGACGAGGTAGGAGCAAAGAGTAGAGATAGGATGGATTAAAAATTGCGGAAGAACACCGGTTTTGCGCGTCACTGTTGGTATTACTAGATTCCTAGGTTCAAAAACAAAATCGCATTTTCACCCTCCTGTCATTAATGTAAGGATAATAAAATTACTTTACGGCGGATTTTCTTATGTATTTTAATCTCTCAAGTAAATAATTTTCGTGTTCTTTCACATGAGAATAATATGTAAGATAAAAAAAATTAATTATTTCATTGACAGTTTTCCATTTTCGTTAAATTTAAAAAAAATTTAATTAGCAAATTAACGTTTTATCAATATTTTTGATAGAAATCAGCTGAGTAAAGCGTTAATGTGCTAATTAAATTTTAAAATAATAATATTTGTAAAAATTAAAACAATATATTTTAAACAATGTTATAATACTTGAAATTCGATTGTTAGTTTTGATACTTATCAGCTGATTTCTGCTAAAAAATATTCGCGGATAAAGTATTATAATATATTATTTAAAACACATTACTATATTTTAATCTTTTTAACATATTATATTATTTTAAAATTTAAATAGCGAATTAATGCTTTACTAACATTTTTTGACAGAAATCAGCTGATCAAAGCGTTAATTTGCTAATTAATTTTTAAAATAATAATATGTTATAAAAATTGAACTATACTAATTTTTTAAAATATTATATTATAATTCTTCAAACTCGATAATATTTTTGACAGTTATCAGCTGATTTCTGTCAAAAAATATTAATTGAGATTAAGGTATTAAATTCTATACAATATATTTACAATTTTAATTTTCTAACGTACTATTACTTTAAAATTTAATTAGATTCAATTTAATTTTGAAAGAAATTGAACAAATTTTGTATGCTTTGCAATTGAACTTTCAAAGGAAAGGTCACGATCGCCGTGATCTCCCCTCTGCGGCGGATTCATATCTGGCTTCGGACTGGCGCCGTCTGGATCTTTTCCTCCCTGTCTCTCCTCCTCTCGTTCTCTTCCGTAGCAGGGAGCGTTAATTGGTCTCATTCCAGATGCCCATACAAAATGCGCAACGCGCGCATTGTCGGCGATACGGTACGTACGCACCTACGCAATGCGAGCGCATTGTCGGATGCACCTGCTGCGCGCGAGGGACGACTCTGGTGGAGAGACCGAATTAGCCGGTACCGTTGACCGGTTCGCCCGGATCGCGTCCGGTGAATGGTCGGTCGTATTGTTAACCCCCAGCCGTCCAAGTTGCACGCGCGTGCGGAAATCGGCATTGCGTGTGTTGGACCGATAACCATATTATTCTAACGACACGTACCGTATCCGGGAACAGGGCGTACGTCCGGCAGCGGATATCAACGGTTCCAGGGTTCGGGTCGCATTATTTAACCCCGGAACAAACGTCCGGATCAGGCTGACCATATGTCCACTTTTACATTCAAAGAGAATACAAATGTATTTCGAAGTTGTCCTAATTTTATTTATCTTGCATAAGCGTGATATAACAAAGTTACACGTATAGATCTTTGTTCCGTTTATAAATTTTGAGAAATATATTTTTAATAATAACTAATGTTTAACATTTTCTTTATTGCATCTGTTAATTTAAAGAAGAGAGAATATTTATACAAACATCACATTTTATTAGTAACGCATATTTTTGGGGGATTTTTATATACACAGAGAACTTTCTCTTAGAAAAGTTATGATAATCATGCGGGATAATAGGGTATGGAAAGAATTTTATAAGGGTTTCTCGGATTAAAAACTATTTATCATAATAAAAAATATTAATATTTACTACAATAAGATAAAAAATATGTTCAATTAATTTTACTATGTACATATTAATTGTCGTAAATATTAATCAGAGAAACTCTTATAATATTCTTCCAATACCATTGTCCCACGATTACAATGATTTTAAGATTTAAATTCTCTCATCTGTGTACAAAATTTTCAAAAGAAATTAATAATTTAAACTTTTCTCATTCTTAAAAATTACAAATGTTCTAGTTTCTCTCTTTCTGTCGTCGCAATCGCATATATACAAAAAATGTATATATAAAATATGCGACTGGATGCTACATCTGCTACTAAGCGGCTTTGCCTCAATAATTTCATCTACGATAACATACCGCATTCAATCGACATGCCGAACTTCGCCCTCGGTCCGGAACGGAGTGACGAGTGACGACGGGTCGCGAAAAACGGGAGCTCCGAACCCCGAAGGTATTCGGCTCGAGATCATCGAGGGGCCCCGTTGCATTCCGCGCATTCCGCCGCGCTCGCTCGCACCGTCGTTTCGTATGCACCGGATACGCGACGTCCGCCCAATAGCCGGGAATGCACGCATGCACATCGCAAATATTAATCTTCACCTGTTATCGAGACGCCAAATCTCAACGCGCCGACACTTGGCGAGATATCGGTAAAAAAAAAAAAAAATGCCGAACGCTCGATGCTACATTCTTCTTCATCTTCCTCGTGTCTTTGTAATCTTATTAAAATATACCTACTCCGTATGTGTAATTATTTTTTTTATTTCTGTAAAGGCAAGTAATAGAGAATAAAATTGTCTCGTTGCTATTTCATTTATTTGTGACACTTGTATGTAAAAATATTTAAAAATGAGGGATAAATTTAAGAGGTCTATTGGACTTTGAATCTAAATTTTTTTTACTTTTGTCTCAATATGCGCGTACTGAAGATTCAATGCTCGTTTAGTATATGAATATACTAGAAGTCGAGTCTAGTTTTCAAGGTGAGATAACAGAATGCGTGCATGCGATCGTAAAATACTAGATGCACCTCCCCTGCCTCGTAATAAGTGAAATACACGCATGCTTGCATATGTGCGCGTGGGTGAGAATCTCCACCTTGTGGTACATACAATACACGTAGAAAACAAGTAGCCACGACCTGCATAATGCGGGTCTCAAAGTAGCGTGCGTAATATATACATAAATACATATACTATGCCGCGTTCACTTCACGCGCAAACTGCGTCTTTTAACTGCGACTCCGATCGTTTCCTTCGGCGACTTTCACGGAGAAGGAGCTCTTTTGCTCTCCGCTAAAATACAGTGTCCCAGAATTACACGGCGTGTTTCTTGCGCGGTAGAAAAAAGCAAGAAAACGCCGTGAAGTGTATGAAATATCGCGTTTCTATAGAATATATAGAGAGAATTTTGCGTAAATGCTGTATTAAATTTTTTTCATCCTTTCGCATTCCATTCACCCGTTCTACGATACAGCGTACTACTTTTGAATATGTCTATTTAATAAAAGAGACTTTAATGAGAGACTGACAAAATGAGAGAAATTGCGCGGTGTTGAAGAAGGCGAAAAAATGAGCACGACGAAATTCAGTCGGCGAAGCGATAATGGAGAAACTTAAGAAGCAATCCCACGGTCAAACCGAGTTGACTCATCGAGCTCTGGCTCGCCAAGGACAATCGTATCCGCAAGCTTCAGCTCCGCCGGAAGGAAATACTTATGTTTGTCGTAAACAGTCGTGCCGCGATTGTAATGCATATACCGATAATAAACCGAATCGCACTGACGCAACCGTTCGAAGATCATACATTATACATATGTCCGATATAATCGAACGTTATGCGTATTAAAAGGATACGTGACAATGCTCAGATATCTGACAATGAGTTGTCATCTCGTATTAAGATTATTACGTGCAGAGATAAAATTGCATCAATAGTTCTGAAATATATTTTTCTGATGCAAAGGATACATTCAATAAAATTATTATATAATATAATTAGATTGAATGGTAGATATTAAAAAAATATAATTTTATTTTTTTCTAGATTTTTTTTCTCATAGATATTAGGAGATTTTTTCTAATAGATATTTGTGGTAGATTATTAATATTTTTTATTGTGGTAAATATACAATTTATATTAATCAGAGAAACCTTTATAAAATTCTTCCAATACCATATATTGTCTCTTGATTATCATGATTTTCAGAGTAAATTCTAAGAGAAAATTCTCTCTGTGTACAATCCAATTTTTCGAATTATGTAATTCTTCTGTTAATAAAATTGAATGTCAAGAAACATTTACTCACCAGTAATTAATTAGTTTGACGATGCGATACGATAATAGAACGAGAAGTAAAGCAAAGAAATAAAAAAACCGGAATGTTTTACAAAATTCCACGTGCATATTCATCGTCTTACAGTTATTCGTTGTGTAATATGTATTGCCGGATTAAGGGATCGCCAGGCATGACTGGATGTTGAGTATCGACATGACGAACCATCCGCCATAATCAGGACTTATACGCGTTTGGTCCCATCGCGCCTTTGTCCGGCAACAGCTGTTTCGCGCGCGCTTCCCTCACGTGCGATCGGCGGCCTTGTATCGCGGTGATTTATGCGACGATTCTCTCACATTCGAACAATGCGGATCGTCCAACGGGAACGAGATAGG